TCAGGAAATCAAATCTCGCAGTGTATACATTGTATACCACAACCAAGTGCAATTTCTGGCAATATGTAAGGTTTTTGTAATATTTGAAATTAAGTTAGTAGAACCTAACACATCAACCAACTAAAGAAAAATCACATCAGTGATTTGCAGAAAAATGATTTGACAGAATTTCACACCTACTTATAACAAAAACACCCAGCAAGCGGGGAATAGACAGACACATTCTCAAATGGATAAAGCCCTTCAGCTAACATCATCTTAAGAGGGCAAGATCAGGTCCTCAGAACATCAGGACCAAGTCAAGGACTCCCGGCCTCACAGTCCTAGTTAACACTGTCCTGGAAGTTCTAGCTGATGGCTCAAGAAATGGAAGCTAGGTGTGGTGGTGTCTGCCTGTAATCCCAGCCACTTGGGAGGCTGAGGCAGAAGTATGCCAAGCTTCAGGCCAGTTTAGGCAACATAACAAAATTTTTAAAAAGTTCTGGGGATACAGCTCAGTGGTAGAGTGCTCGCCAAGCATATACACGGCCCAAGGTCAGTCCCCAGCACTGCAATGAATGGATGAGGGAATGTGTACTGATCAAGGAAAAGATGAAACTGTTTCTGCTTGGAGATAATTTGAACATCTGTAAAAGTACCAAAGAATCAACCAAGAAACTGCTGGAACTAATAGATGATTATAGCAACCATTAAAGTATAAAATGAAGCTGGGCGTGATGGTGTACAGCACTCGGGAGGCTGAGGTGGGAGGAGCGCCTCGAGTTCGAGGCCAGCCTAGGCTACATGGTAAGTTCAAGGCCAGCCTGAACTGCGCGGTGAGATCCTGTCTCAAAAAAGAAACAATGAAAATAATGAACCAGTGAAATTTGAAATTAGAAACACGATACTATTTACATTTGCATCATATCCACAAATCCAATGCTTATATATAAATTTAACAAAATACATAAGAAAACTATAAAACTGGTGAAAACCATAAAGAAGACCTAAATCAATGCAGAGAAATGCCATGTACAGGGATAAGAAGGTCTCCCCGGCCTCATCAAGATTCAGCACCAATCCAGTCAGCACCACAGGGGAGATTATGTTGTAGATATCGACAAGCTGATTTTGTTTTCAGTACTGGGGATGGGATCCGGGGCGCTCTACCACTGAGTTACATTCCTAGTCCTTTTATTTTTTTGATACTGAGTCTTGCCAAGCCGTTAAATTGCCCTGGCTGGGTTTGAATCTATGGTCTCCTGCCTCAGCCTCCCAGGGAGCTGGGTTTACAGGCATGTGCCACCACACCCAGTCTGACAAACTGATTCTGGAGTCTACACGGAGAGGTGAAAAGCCTGTAACAGCCAGTACAGTATTGGGGAAGAGAACAAAGTTGGAGGACTGACACAGGCGACAATAATCCCCACAGTGTGGTATCAGCCAGAGGACAAACAGCTGGACAGAGTGAAGAGTGGAGGACGGAGCTACCTGAGTGCACTCGGCTGACCTCTCCGAGCAGCAAGCCAGCCCGGTGCCGAGGGTCAGTCTCTTCAACACGTGGTGCCAGAGCACTGGACGCTGCCCTGAAAGGTGCAGATGAAGACACGGAACTTACAGCAGTTACAAAAATTGGCTTAAAGTGGACCACAGATCCATTCCTATCAGTGAAAAGCATAAATATAAAAACCTTGCATGGCAGGGCTGGGGATTTAGCTCAGCGGCATAAGTACTTGCCTTGCAAGCAAGCGCGTGGTCATGAGTTCGATCCCTGGTACTGGTAATACAAAAAAAAGAAAAACCTTACATGGCGATCCAGGAAAAGTAACGGGTAACCTTGTTTGGTGAAGATGTTCTACATAGAACCTCAAAAGTCCTGTCCCTGAGAGAACAATACAAAGTTGAAATTCATCCACATTACAACTCCTGCTCCGCCAAACACACCAGGGAATAAAGACAAGACACAGGCCTTACTCAACGGTTGGAAAAGAAATGCCCCAGTTTAAAAATGGGCAAAAGTTTGGAACAGCTGCTTAACCCAAGATGACATGCAGGTGGCCGGTAGGCACCCCAGGGACACCCCGTGTTCTGTCACCAGGGAACCCCAAGTGAGACCAGCAGCCAGGGACCTCACAGGCTTGGGAGATTGGCCCACTCCACCAGGGCCACCGAAGGCTGGAGAGGGTGCTGAGGAGAGCGACCCTCGCTCATCGACCCTCGCTCATCGCTGGGGGAGACAGATGGGCCGGCCACGCCGCAGGACAGGTTGGCAGGTCCTCACAAGACCAAACACTTTCCCATACACCCAGCAGTCGTGCTTAGTAGTTCCCCAAGTATGCTGCCAGCAGGCATCCCCATAAAAACATGCAAATGTTCACAGCAGCTTTATTCAAAGGCCCTAACTTGATGTCCTTCAGTTGATAAGTGGGGGAACCCTGTACGGCGAAATATTATTCAGTGTTGAAAGTAAGTTGCAGGGGCTGGGATTTAGCTCAGTGGCCTAAGTGCCTGCCTGGCAAGCCTGAGGTCGTGAGTTCAATCCCTGGTACCACCAAAAGAAAAGTAAGTTGCAAGCTGAATTCCAATAAAAATACCATTTGCATACCTTATGGATCTAGAGAAATCATCCCTAAAATTCATCTGGAATCAAAAGAGACCTAGAATATCAAAGGCAATGCTGGGTAACAAAGGTAAGGCAAGAGGCATCACAATCCCTGACTTGAAATTATATTATGAAGCTACTGTGAAAAAATCAGCATGGTACTGGAATAAAAACAGACCTGAAGATCAGTGGAATAGGTTAGAAGATACAGCCACAACTACAAACACACTCAGCCACTCATCTTTGATGAGGCCAAAAATTGACACTGGAAGAAGGATAGCCTCTCTATTGTTTTTGTTTTTTGTTTTTTATGGGTACCAGGGATCGAACTCGCAACTGCATGCTTGCAAGGCAGGCATTTATGCTGCTGAGCTAAATCCCCAGCCCTAGGATAGCCTCTCTAATAAGTGGTGCTGGAAAAACTAGCTCTCCATATGCCAAAAACTTAAACTAGACCCATGTCTATCACCGTGTACTAAAATCAAAATGGATCAAAGATCTAAAACACTAAATCTGCTGAAAGACAAAGTAGGCAAAAATGTTGATGACATAAAAGTAGGCAGAGAATTCATGAACAAAAATCAACTGCATGGGAAATACTTCCCAGAATCAACAACTGGAATCTCATCTTATTAAAAAGTTTTTCCATGTCAAAAGAAATCTCCAACAGAGTGAAAAGAAAACCTACAAAGTGGGAAAATACCTTAGCCAACTGTCCCTTAGACAAAGGGCTTCTACCTAGAACATATAAAGAACTAAAAAAAAGAAATCTGGCCCCCCCAATTTAAGGACCCAGTCTAAAAATGGGCATCTGAGATGAATAAACAGTTCTCAGATGAAGAAATGCAAATGGCAAATAAATATATGAAACAATGTTCAACATCAGTGGTCATTCGGGAAATGCAAGTTAAAACCACACTGAGATTCCATCTCACTCCAGAAAGAATGGCCAGGATCAATCAATCAATCAATCAATCAATCAATAATAAATGCTGGAGGGGCTGTGGGGAAAGAGGAACCCTTCTCCACTGTTGGGAGTGTAGACTGGTGCCACCACTGTGGAAATCAGTGTGGAGACTCCAAAAAACTAGGTGTGGAGGTCCCATTCAACCCAGCTATTCCCCTTCTGGGTATCTTCCCAGAAGAATTAAAAACATATCACAGCAATATATGTGCCCATGTTTACAGCAACACAATTTGTAATAGCCAAATCGTGGAAACGACCCAAGTGCCCATCAGGAATGGATAAAAAAGACGTGCTGTTTTTATACAGCGGAGTATTACTCAGTTATAAAAAAAGATTCCATAAGTAAATGGACACAACTTGAGACCACAGTCATAAGTGAAATAAATCAAATTCACATGTGTAAATACCGTATTGTCTCCCTAGTGTAAGAAACCGAAAGAGTATATACGATCCAAAATCTGCAGTACACACTGTGTAAGGGTAAGAAACTGCTCACAGAGGACAAGTGAGTGGGGTGGGGAATAGAGGGAAGGAAGGGGAAAGGGAAAGACATGAATTTGTGTGTTCATAAGATAGCTAAAATGACTATACTACTAACAGTATTAGCTACTGAAAAAGAACAGTTCATACTCACATGATCAGATCAGTTTTGCATGTCTGTATCTGGTAATCTAAGCAGCCCTTTTGGAGGTAAGTATGCAATATTACAACCATTGTCAAAGTCCAATCACTTTGTTTTGTAAACCTGTACTGCTACTGCTTTGGGTTTGTTGTGGTTTGTCTCTTTTGATTTTTTTCTTTTCTGTGTCTTTTTTTCTCTTAAGTAAATTTTTTAAAAAGTGAGCTGCAAGCTGAAAGGGACATGGAGGACCTGTGGGTGCACACCGCGGGGGGAAGGAAGCCCTGTGACAAGATCACACACCGATGATCCCGACCCTCTGAGATTCTGGAAATAGAATAATTATTGGAAACAATCAATAAATCAGTGGTTGCTAGAGGCTGAGAGATTTTGGGGGCAGTAACAGCACCCTACATGATACTGTAATGAGACTGTAACATGTATGGATACTGGCTTCTGGGTGTAACAAATCAATCTGGGAATGCAAGATGTTGGTAGGGAAAATCAGGGTGGGATGAGGGGTTCTCTGTGGAACTCTTTGTACTTTTTTTTTAAGACAGAGTCTCACTTTGAAGCTCAGACTGGCCTTCAATTCACTATGTAGCCGGGGCTGGCCTTGAATTTGTGGCAATCCTCCTGCCTCAGCCTCCCAAGTGCCAAGATGGTCTTTGCTACCACACCAGCTCTCTCTCTCTCTCTCTCTCTCTCTCTCTCTCTCTCTCTCTCTCTCTCCCTTTTGATGAATATTTCCACAAACCCAAAGATGCCACCAAAAAAATAAATCAACTGGTTAAAACACCAAGCTTCAGGGTAAAAAAAAAATAAAGGTAAAGGAAAGATTAATTAGCTATATTTATTTAAATATTCACAGTTTTCCAAGGAAAAATACAAAGAATTATAAGTTTTGAGACATTAAAACTGTACAAATACCCCATTTCTGCAAGGATAAATCAGTCTTAGACTTTAACACGTGAATTCTGAACATCTGACCCCTCTGCACACAGGAATTTTACTGCCTGCCTGTGACAATGCCCACGAGAAGATATGTGTCACCTCAGCCTTTGGTACCAAGTCATAACACACAAAAGCATCACAGTTGGTGACATTACCCTTCCTTCCAAGAATGCACAGTACTCAGGCCCCATCCGTAAAGACAAAGAGTCCTAGGTTCCGAGTCGATTTTAAACACGAACAGAGGAATAAAACTAAGAAAAAGGATGGGATAAATTTATTGAAGAGCGCACCGCTGAGGCGGGCGGGGGCCTGAGCTCCGAGCAGAACTGGGCGTCCCAGCAGGCTGGAGCAGAGGGCTTTGCCTTGGGGTCCAGCTGGCACACTCATCTCTGTGGCTGCTGTGTGGCCGGGGACACTGGGACACGGTATTCCCAAGTTGAGTGAGCCAGGTTTCTTAGCCACTGGTCTGGCAGTCACAGGGAACCCGCTGCTGTGAGGTCCACGGCGTCACTGGGTTCTGCTCGGGTCACACACACGTTTGTTTCTGAGGATGAGTCTGCTCCCGGCCGGAGCTGTCACTGATCTCGCAGTTTCAAAGCAGAAGAATGACGGACAGTGACAGTCCCTCTGGCATCATCTTAGGGGTGCAGAGCCTGGCCCCAGAGGTCACTGCACAGCAGGGAACATCAAACAGGTTAGGCCAGGCTGCAGCAAAGCCACTCTGGACACCCCCTTTGTGGAGGTTTTTAAATAAAGCTGCTTAGGGTACTGACTACCTAGTAAGTGGTCGATCAAATACTTGATACTTTGGCAAATAGTTTATTCAATACTTTGTAAGGTCCGGCCCGTTTATCAGCAGGGTGGGCCGCGATGCTAGGGAAGAGCGTTTCATCTCTAGGGGAGAACAATACAGGAGGTGCTCTGTGCCCTCGGAGGTGCCCGCTGCGCGTCGTTCTTCCAGGACTCGGAGGACTGGACCACTGTGGACGCTGCCCCGGGTCAGGGTCGAGCTCGCCCTCTGCGGGGCCATGGCCGGGGGGCCGGGAGGTCCTGGCCCTAGCGGTGGCCCCCATACTTGGCCGCCCAGTCCGTCCTCGCGGGCACTGAGGGCACCGGCGGGGCGCCCATCACGATGGGGAGGTTCTTGGTGCCCGGGCTGTACGCGGGCCTCGAAAACTGCCCGTGGCCAGGCTTCGTGCTCCAGCTGAATTCTGAAAGAAATCAGAATCACAATGAGAACTGTCCTCGTCTGAGGACCAGAAATAAACTAATCCATCCTCTCACTTAATGAGGGGAATTTATCTTTAAAAGATTAATTCAGTGGTCTTTGAGGTTTTTTTGTTTCTTAATGTTACTGTTTTTGTGGTACTGGTTTGAACTCAGGGTTTTTACACTGAGCTGCATCCCCAGCTCTTTTTAAAATTTTATTTATTTCATTTATTTTTTTTGTTTTGAGACAGGGTCTCAATAAGTAAGTACACTGTCCAGGCGGGGTTCAAATTTACCATCCTGCCTCAGCCTTCCAGTGTTGAGATTATAGGCATGCTACTACGCCTATTGTTGTGTTTGTTTGTGTATAGGATCTCTCTCTCTTTCTAATTCAGGCTGGCCTTGACCTCACTATGTAGCTGCCCAGGCGAGCCTTCAACTTGAAGGGATCTCCCTGCCTCAGCCTCCTGAGTGCTGAGATTACAGGCATGTACCACCCTGACAGGCTTTTTCTTTTAAAGCAAAAATTCTATAGTAGTTATGTTGTCACAAACCAGAATTATCAGCAGTTTATGAGCCCATAAAGTATTTTATTTTATGAAAATACAAAATTCCATTACAATAAGAAAATAACTATTTAATATTCTACCATTATCTTCAAAGTAGTTTCTCAGAATACAAGATACAAATCAAAAACATTCTTACAAAAGAGAAACAGATAGCACAAAACCTTCTCTTCAGTGACCTAAGATGAACTACTATTGTGAAAGAAACAAACTAGCATATATATTAAAATATTTTTGAAATGACAACATGTGTATTTTGAGAAAGTATGTGAACTTTACTTCCTATTATTCTCTCTCTCCTATTTTGTCTTTGTCTTTTCATAAGCTGTATCTCTGTGCAGTATTTAAGCTTGTATGACTGACTTATTTCCATTAATATTATAGCCTCAAGGTGCATCCATTCACCTGCAGATGCCTCCACCTATCCTTCTCTATGGCAGCATAATACTCCACCGGGTCTGACTTTCCCTTACATCTGCTGATGGACATGCACTCTGTTTCTAAGATCTACCACTTAGACATTGTGCTTCTGTGAATACGGGTATGCTTGAATCCCTGTAACAGGATTTTCTCTTCTTTGGGAAGATACCTAGAAAGGGAATAGAAGGGTAGACTAGAATTCTATTTTTAGTTTTTTGAGGAATCTCCACCCTGATTTCCGCAGTGGTCGCACTAGTTTACATTCCCACCGGCTGCCCCTTATCCTTGCCATTATTTGTTATGTTTAGATTTTCTGATGACAGCTCTTCTTTCTGGGATAAAATGGCGTTTCTGTGTAGTTCTCATTTGCATTTCTCTAGTGACTGGTGGTGACGGGCAGTTTTCTTGTATTTATGGGTCACCTGTACTCATCCTGAGAAGTGTCCGTCCATTTCCACTGCCGTGTTTTGACTGAGCTTTTCTGGGGAAGGGTTCTGGTTTTATGACTTCCCTATTCTGGTGTATGCCGTCTGTCTGTGAACAGCTGGCAACACTTTTTCTCCCACCCTGCAGGCTGTTTCTTTTCTCTGTTGGCTGTTTCCTTTGCTCTGTAGAAGCTTTTTAATTTGGTATCATCTGTTGCTTCTCGGTATTATTTCTTACACTACTGACGTTCTGGTCAAAAAGTCCTTGCCTACACCGTGTCCTCCAGACTTGTACCAATTTTACCTTCCGGTAGTTAGGTTTTCTGTTTAACATGTAGATCTTTTATCTATTTTAGTTTAGTACGTGGTGAGAGATACGGGTTAAATTCAATCTGCAGCACTGTTTATTAAAGACGCTACCCCCCAGTGTGTGTTTTTGATCCCTTTGTTGATGATCAAAGAGCTGTATTACCTGGGGTTGTTTCTGTTCTGTTCCATTGATCCTCATACCTGTTTTCTTCCAGTACCATGCTATTTTAGTCACTGTTGCTTTATAATATAACTTGAAGCCTGGGATTATGATGCTACCTGCTTTGTTTTTGCTACCCAGGGTTGCTTTTGCTATACTGGGTCTCTCCTGATTCCATATAAATTTTAGGATTGTTTTCTCTAGCTCTGTGAGAAATGATGTTGGCATTTTTTAAAATTAGGTAACTTGTTTTTTGAGTCAAGGTCTAGCTATTGTAGCTTAGACTGCTTTTAAACTGCCTCATTTTCCCTGGTGCTGGGATTACAGATGTGCCACCATACCCAGTCCTAGTTAACTACTTTATTATTGTCGTGGTTAGTTTTCTCTTTGCTGAGATAAAATACCTAACACATTGGCATTTTCATTGGGACTGCATTAAATCTGTATGTCAGTTTTGAAGGTAGAGCCATTTTGACTATATTCATTTGACCTACCTAGGAACAGAGCGTATCTTTTCATTTTTTTGGTTTTGTTTTGTTGAGACAATCTCACCATGTAGTTCAAAGTGGCCAAGGCTGTCCTCAAGCCTGCTGTGATCCTCCTGCCTCGGCCTCCTGGGTGCTGGGGTTACAGGTGTGTGCCACCACGCCTGGCCCTATCTTTCCATTTTCTGATGTCCTCTTAAATTTCCTTTTTCAGAATGAAGCGATTTTAATGGTAGCAGTCTTTCACTTCCTTAGTTAAGTCAGTGCCTGGTATTTGATTTTTTGATGCTATTGTGAATGGTCCTGTTGTCCTAAGTGCTTTTTCAGTGGGCTCATTCCCAGTGTCTAGGAATGCTGTGGATTTTTGTGCATTTGTTTTGTATCCAGCTACACTGCTGAACTTGGTTATCGATTCTAGGAATCTTTTGGTGGAGTTTTTGGGTCCTGTACATAAAGGATGTGTCATCTGCAGATAATGTTTTGACTCTGTCCTTTCCTATCTGTAGTCCTTTAATTTCTTTCTCTTGTCTCATTGTTCTGGCTAATGTTTCCAGGGCCATGCTGAACCACGTGGTGGCAGTGGACATCCTGATCTTGCTCCTCAGTTTAGGGGCTTAGAGTCCTCTCCATTTAATATGATATTAGCAGGCTGTCAGTCACAAGTGGCTTTTATTATGCTGAGAGAAAGATGTTATCTACTCACCCTTCATGGTGTTTTAGTATCATAAGTGGATGTTGGATTTTGTCAAAGGCCTTTTCCGTGTCTATGGAGATGATCACGTGATTTTTGTCCTTGTTTCCGTTTATATAAATTGCATTTATTATCTGCACGTGTGGGGCCATCCTTGCATCCCAAGGATGAACCCCCTTGGTCATGCTGTATGATCTTTTGGTGATTTTTTGTATTGTTTGCCATTATATTATTGAGGATTTTGCATCTATGTTCATTAAAGATATTGGTCTGTGGTTTTCCTTTTTGGTTGGATCCTTGACTGGTTTTGGGAATCAGGATGACCTTAGCTTCCAAGAATGATTTTCGAAATACTATTTTCCTCTTGGTTTCATTAAAAATTTTGAGGAGTATTGGTGTTAGATGTTCCCTGAAGTTCCTGTAGGATTTGGCTGTGAATCCGCTGGGCCCTGGGCTTTTCTTATTTGGTGGTTTTAAAAATTACTGCTTCAATTTCATTACATGTTATTACATTGTTCAAGATTTTTAGGTCTTTTTGGTTCAGTTTTGGCAATTTCTATGTACCACGGAACCTTCCCACTTCTCCAGTTGTTTAGCAGATATATTGGTGAAGGCCAGCAGCACCATGAAAGAGGACCACATTTGTGTCTGTGGGGGAAGATGGCTACGGCTGTGTCTGTCACCTGATGCAGTTTGCCAACAAAAACAAAACTTTGGCAAATGCTGAGGTACCACTGTAGTCGCTAATGGTTTCCTGGATTTGGGGAGTGTCTGTTGTCATACTGCCTTTTTCATCTCTAGTTGCATTAATTTGTGTCTTTTCTTTGTTTTGATAAGACTAGCTGAGGGTTCCTCTATTTTGTTTATTTTTTCAAAGGACCAGCTCTTTGATTCATTCTTTGTTTTTGTGCCAGGCAGGCACTTACACTGCTGAGCTAAATCTCCGGCCCAATTCTTTGTTTTTTTAATCTCCATTTCATTGATTTTTTGCTCTGATCTCTGTAATTTCCTTCCTTGTACAAGCTCTGAGTTTGGACTGTCCTTGTTTTTCTAAGACCTTGATATGCATCATTAGTTATTTGTGTTCATTCTGTTTTTCCAAAGCGGGCGTTCACAGCTATAAAGTTCCCTCACAGGACGGCTTTCACTGTGTCCCACAGTTGTTGTGTGTAGTGGCATTATCATTTAATTCTAGGAACTCTCTTATTTTTTCCTGATTTTCTTTCTGTGACCCACTGATTATTCAAGAGTGTGCTGTTTAATTTCCGTATGTTTTTGAAGTTTCTTTTGGTATTGATTTCTAGTTTCATTGCACTGTGATCTAATAATAGGGGCTGGAAAATTTTGTTTCTCTTCCTCTACTCAGACATGCTTTATTAGCTAACGTGGTCTGTTGTGGAGAAAGTACCACACGTGGCCAAAAAGGAAGCATATTTTCTTTGCTGTCGTAACACTGTGTCTGTATCCATTAAGTTCATTTGTTCAAAGCTTTGTTTCAATTCTGATGTTTGTTGATTTTTTGGTTTAGTAGTTTTGTCTGTTTGTGATAGAAGGGTACTGAAGTCTCCCACTATAATTGTATTGATGTTTATTTGATCCTTTTAGAGTTTATTTGATCTTCCATTAGAGTTTGCTTAATGAAGGTGGGTGTACCATAGTTGATGCGTGCATGTTTATAATTGTTGTCTTTTCCTGTTAAACACTTCTGCTAACCAACATGTAATGTCCTTCTTTGCCTCTTCGATCAGCTTTGACTTGCAATTCACTTTGAGAATAGGATAGCTACTCTTGCTTGATTTTGGGTTCTTGTTGCATGGAATATTGTTTCCCAGCCTTTGATTTTTAGGCTATGAATTTCTTTCCATGTTAAGTGTGTTTCCTGTGTACAGCATATTGTTGGATGAGCCATTATTTCTGAATTTTAATTCTGATGCTGCTGCTATGACCATTCCTTCACGTGACGGCGGATAATACTTTATGAATGGACCAAGAGAGGTTCTTAGTTCAAAGACAATGAGCAACAGCCACAAGATCAGACTTTAATACCACGTGGGAGGCCACCACGCTGCACCCTCTCGAGAAATAAAGCCCCTTGCCTCAATCTTTCCCTCCCTTGTCCTTCAACCCTATTCACTGAGATATGCAGAGCTGGCTTTATTGAAATACGTATTCACTTAATTAGCCAAGTCTGGCTGAGACGTCATCACTGCAGCATGTGGGTGAGCATTATCATCCCACCCTCTGCTGGTGGTTGGATGGGGGTTCAAGAAAAAAAAAAAAACCTGTGAGAGTCCAGGGATAAACCATGAGATAACATCTCAGCTAAATCCACGGGACTCAGAAAGAATTATACCTTCCTGGCAGTGAAGGTGCCAGCCTCACGTGCCCCGAGCTATCCGTTACACTGCTAACTGGAGGCTTCTGTGCCTGGTACAAAATTGTTCTCTTTCTCTTTCTCTTCCCTAGCGCTCTGCGGTGACCCTCACCACCTCCCTGACTGATACCCATAAAAGCCATGAGCTTTTGGACTCATGGCCTTTTGTTCCACAGAGGACATTGATCATCCCAGAGCTCCTCAACTGCAGAACTCCCTCTCTGTGCTAATTTTGCATATGTGTTCCAAACAGGTGGTTAGACTGACACTCCAGGGGCTTTTGGTTAATACCACACTGTGGTTGTATGTTGGAGCCTGGGCTGTGCAGGGTTAAACTGCTACTCACAGTCAGGATAACCACAGCTGAGGTGGCCAAGGACACGGGCTGCTGACAGCCCCATTCCAGAGCAGTAAAGCTACCAACTTAGAGATAAGACATTTCTCTTCATTAGCAAAAGTTACTACTTGGAGAAGTCTTCAAACTGACTCCCAAGGTCCTGCTCAGTTCCCAGGCTTGCCTCAGTATCCCCTTCCTTTGTTTGAAAACCAAATAGATAAATATAAGCCACCAGGAGAAGTTTTTGATCTCAACCCCCAGGGAATCTCAAATTCTGTTAGAGGGTTTTGAAGCTCTAAAATCATTAACATTTGTCTCATCTTTAAGCCATTTGCCACCCACTTGTTTAGAAGATCGAGGCTTGGCTAAGACTCCAATAGTTATAGCTAAGTAATATTCAAACACAGTATTCACTGTGTAAAATGTATTTAGAATTATGAATCCTCTAAAACTTTTAGCTTTGTGGAGCTACACATATAGAGTTCTAATTTCCTTTGAAAATCGAAGTATTCCCAGCACTCAGGAGGCTGAGACAGGAGGATTGTTGCAAGTTTGAGACCAGCTCACAAAGTGAGCTCGAGTTCAGCCTGAACTGCATAGTGAGACCCTGTCTCAAAAAAAAAAAAAAATACATATATATATATTCTAGAATTAAGAATTTTTTTTCATCAGTGTCTATCCATATTGCCCAGGCTAGAACTTGTGATTTTTCTGCCTCAGCCTTCTCAGTAGCTGGTATTACAGGCATGTGGCACTGTGCTTGGCACAGAACTTCATTTTGTACTAAGATAATTATGGGCGATAACATAGCGCCTCTTAAATGGCAACCTGTTACTGGATCCCAAACTTTTAATCATAAGGCTTATTTTATTCCTATATTTTGCCGCCAAAATGTATAAAAACTTTAAAATTAGTGAAACATTGTTACATGAATAACTAACCAGCTAAAACTGCTTAAACATTTCAAATGTCAAAGAACTAAATCATTTTACAGAGGGCTCTAATGTCCGTGGTCCCTCCCCACCCCTCCCTCCCTCTGGACTCTGAGCCAGCTCTCTCCAGGCCTCCCCCTGGGGACGTGCCTTCCAGCCACTTGGGACTTGCACATCTTTTGGGTACACAGCCGCTGTCATTTCTGGGGTGGCCTCTGTGTGTCACAGACACTGGGTTACAGACAGCAGTTCTCTTATTTACTACTTGCAAGCCAGATTTTTGGAAAAAAGAAAAGGATATTTTGACAGGAACAATTGGCTGTGTTAGTGAAGTGACACTAATTTAAAAGCCTTTAGGCAGCAAAAGCGACCATCTATGTTTAAGTGGGGGAAAAATACCTCCTCTCGGTTCTGAAATCTCAAAACCTGTTCTTACCTGTAGCAGCTGCGGCGCCAAGGGGCGCCAAGTGGATCCTCTGGCCGGCTGACCCAACTTCTTTTTTGAGGAAGGAAGGGATGTATCCTGACTGGCTGTAAGTAGTGTAACCGCCGAGATTTCCTAGTGATGTATCACAAAGTTTCAGAGTCAGCAGGTGAATATCTGTAACAGCGGTAGAATAAACTCGAATCCTAACCTTCTTCTGGGTACTATTTTTTGAGCACCTGCTGCACTCCAGGCCACGCCGTGCTTGGCCACTTGCCTCTCCCATCCCCGGAACAACCCCTCGGGTGCTGGTTATTATCATGCACTCTGTGGCACCACCAGGCAAAGTGGTCTGCCTCTGTTTCCTTGATCACCAAGGGACTGAGCTCAAGGCAGGGTTTGTGTGGTGCGTCCTAGACTCAGCAGCAGGGCTTTGATTATGCTGTTCATCACCCTGGAGGGTTTCCTGCCAGGAACTCCTGATCCTTGAAGCATTTTTTGCGCCTCTGTTCATTTCCTAAACCTTTTCCAAAGGGGCTTCCTCTCCCAGGGTTGGTGCAGGGGCCAAGTGCCGTGCAAGCAGAGCCACTGGCATAGAATTGCGTCAGCGCCACCATCATCCGCCACCATTGTTAGCAGACCGTCTATCTGGTGAACAGAACGGCGAAAGCTAGAGGCAGGAGCAGGAGCCCAGTCAGGAGGTCCCTGCTGGGCGGAGATGACAGAAGGTGTCACGGAGGAGGGAGAGGCAGGGACCGGGTGGGTCGGCAGGGCTGGGGTGTTATGGGAGGCAGGATGTGTGATGCCCCTGCTCTGCAGCTGAGGTGACTTAGGAGAGCAAAATAGATGAGGCAGCAGGATTTAGGGAAAGATGTGGTGCCTTGAGTCACATCAGGGGGATGAGGAGGCTATTAGATGTCATTTTTCAGGGTCTGGGGGTCTGGGGTCTGGCTCGGACGTGCAGAGACCTGGAGAAGACTGCAGAGGTCATCTGTGGAGGGAGGCATCCGGAGAGAGGAGAGGTGCAGAGAGCTGGATGAAGGCGGGGCAGGCTTACAGGATGGAGCTCCAAGAGTTTGCAGCATAAGAACAGAAGGACCGGGCAGAGGTGGCGGAGAGAGCCGAGAGCCTGGCACTGCCCAGGGGGATGCTGGGAGCAATGTCAGCACACACACGCGGCCGGCTGAGGCCAGATCACAAGGACCCGAGGGGCAAAGCCAGAGCAGAATGCCGTGCAGGGAGAGACACACAGCTACGAGGGGTAACGGGGCTCCAAAGGCCCAAAGAACCGGTCCCCGGGCAGTAAAGCCGAGGCGTCCCCTGCCCATACGTCTGGATTCTGGGCTCTGTGCCCTGCTGTGGCACGGGGCTGGGCACAGCAGGTTCTGAACAAGTACTTGCTCTTGAAGCAGCAAACACTGGAGAGCAGTGGTGTGAACGCAGCAGACCCCCAAGGACCCCACCCTGAGGTTCCCGCCGTGCTGAACGCACTTCTCCTTACTGCTCACACTGGCTCTCAATCAGTCACCTGCCTCGTATTTCAAAGAGACTTGTAGGAAGGCAGCCCAGAGTCGGGACTGCATCTAACAGCAGCGCCTACCGCGGGATGAAAATCCTGGGCAGAACCGTATGGTGCTATAAATGGAAATATTCTTCCCTCCAGTTTATGGGGGAGAAACTGGTAAATAACCTGCCCCAGATTCCGAAAGCTAGTGAGGGCCAGAAGAGGGACATGGTCCACGCCACAAGCCACGTGCTCTGCTGCTGCTGCAGGGGGTGGCCAGGCAAAAACGAGCGGGGAATCGAGTCTTCTTAAACTATCTTGGTGTTCTACTGCAGGCCCCGTGAGCTCCGGGTTTCCAGGCTGGAGCTGGTGGCTGGCACTGTGGAAACCGCAGACCTATCCCCTAGGAAATGCCATCGACCTGGCAAGCTTTTTCTTTTAAAAATGACTGTTGTTGCTTAAGAAATGAGTTTCAGAAAAATACGTATTATATATATATATATATGTATATCATCTATATAATATATATATCTTGGAGTTGGAAAATACTTAAAAATTTTTTTTTACTATTATTTTTGTTTTGTTTTGAAAACACTCTTTTCAGTCTTTTCCACGGAATTATTTGCCTGATTTCTGCAGGTTGCCAGCATGAATTTAAGAAGACTCGGGAAGCAGCGCTGTACAAAAAGGCTCAGGAGGACGCGAAAAGCTTCTCCCTGTCCCAGTCTTGATGTGACTTCTAAAAGCAGGTCACTTTGGCCTTGTAGGATGGGTCACAGGGCAGAGGCCGAGCAGAGAACTACACGGGGTCAGGGGACAAGTCGTGCTCACTCGTCACACGCAGAAATTACCTTGTGGATCCTGTACTATTTCAGGAAAGCTTTCATTGCATGATAGCTTTTCAATGGGTTTTATTATGCTTTCTTCTAAAGGGAAGGCGGATGGGAAGAAAGAATGAACAGTAAGGAGAATATTATAGAAAACGCAGAGAAAAACATGAATTAGATGATGAAAGAACTCTTAGGACGAGGTGTCCCTGTGCGCGGCTGCTTTCTGTGGACCCCAAGGTGCAAAGCCGCGGAGCTGTCCCCCGCGCTGGTTTGTGGAACTGCTTGGTTCTGTGAATGCTGTGTTTAAACTTCCTTAGCTCTAGTGAGCCCATAAATTAAGTCCCTAATGAGTGTGAAAAACTTGTAAAAAGTGCATGTGTGTTGCTGTCACATCAGGACACCTCGCCGGGCTGCACATCTGCCAGAACCATGACCATCGAACTTTAAAAACCTAATACCGCCTGGATTTTGGTTTTTGTGGTAAATGAGATTGAACCCAGGGCCTTCCCACTGCGCCCCTTTGTGTTTTTTATTGTGAGACAGGGTCTCACTACACTAAATTGCCCAGGCTATGCTCAACCCTGCAGTCCTCCTGCCTCAGCCTCCTTGGGCTTCTCCACCTACCACTCACATTTTTGAGAGACTGTATCCCTTCATACACTTTTAAATTGATATCCAAAGTTTTTCTTCATAAGTCAACAGTTGCAAATGATGTTATTTTTGGAACAGTGAAATTATAAATAGTTTAACAATAAGACCATTCTATCTCCCTTTAAATATAACCAATGGAATCTAGCACATGATTTTATGCCCACAATACTAGTATAAAAATATATCCATCCACACTGTCTCTCTGACAACTGAACAGCTTTCACAATAAGCTAAACCCCAAGCCCTTGTTATTTTTAATTTGATTCAAGTTCTCACTGACTCTCTAAGTTGTCCAGGCTAGATTTAGACTTGTGATGCTCCTGACTCAGCTTTCCAGTGTGCTAAGGTTACAGGTTAGCACCACCAAGCCTGGCGCAGAAACACATCCCTTAATGAGGAAAAGGAAACTTCTTTCAAGTAGGTTAAGCAAATGAATGTTCTTGGAAACACGTGGGGTTCAGCATCCATCCCTGTCTCTCTGTCTGTCTCTGTCTCTCTGTCTGCATCTCTGTCTCTTTATCTCTGTCTCTCTCTCCTGTAGATGGAACCACTGAGAAATGTTGGTAAGACAGAAGTTTCTAGGTGCTAACAGTGTTGTTTTTTTTTAAACAGCTTTGCTGGTCTATGCACTCTTCAGAGATGCAGACCAAAAATTATACATCGATTTCATAAAAGTGATCTTTAATTCTCTGTCAGCTTGCAACTCCTTTAGGTCTTCCTTCGAATTCCTGAAACCTCCTGCCTTAGAAAAGATTCTCAAGACGCGCTGGCACACACCTGTAATCCCAGCGCTCAGGAGGCTGAGGCAGGAGGATCGCTGTGAGTTTGAGGGCAGTCTGGGCTACAAAGTGTGTTCAAGGCCAACCTGAACTGTATAGCAAAACTCCATCTCAAAACAAAACAAAACGAAACAGCCCCCAAAAAGCAAAGATTTTCTGTGCACTCTTCAAGGATCATTTATTTTTTCAACACTGACTTCCGTGTGACAAACAGTCCCTTCGCCTGGCACCACAGATATTCTTACACTTTGGGGGGAGGCGCATCATCTTAACCCGAGAGAAGCTTTGCTTCGCTTCCTTTGTGCATCAGGAGAACTGAAGGACACCTTGTTATTTAACAAGGCAGCTCCACTTCGGAGAGAACCTGGATGGAAGGGGACGATCTGGCAGACTGTCTGCACTCGTCTCATCTGCAAAGCCTTTGAGCCCCCTCCCAGGCAGGCACGCAAGCCCCTGAGGGAACGTGTGAAAGTAATAAATAATCACTTTTGAATCAGAACAGGCAAAAGTAAACATCCGCAGGCAGCCAGCGCATTGAGGTTTAGGTGTATTCTTGCATTACCTGCATTATTCCTTTGGAAAGCGACTTCTGCTCCCACGGCTCCCAGAGACTTGGGAAACAGCTGATTATTCCAGGCGTAAGAGTTGACGTCCTTCCCGGCGGCTCGGAGAGACACACGCTTGGGATTTACACCTTGGAAGAACAAAGCTGTCATTGCAAAGGTCTGTGTGATCACAGACTGGGAGGAAAAATAGGATCTGTACGAACAAAGTTAGACAGGAAACTAGAGATATATTTAGGTTGGAAGGTAGCAAAAGCCTGGCACGGGGCACATGTTTGTAATCCTAGCACTTGGGAGGCTGAGGCAGGAGGCTCACTGTAAGTTAGAGACCAGCCTGGGCCACAAAGTAAGCTCAAGACCAGCCTGAACTGCATAGTGAGACCCTGTCTCAAAAAGATAACAAATAAATAAATAAGAAAGGCAGAAATACATCCTTTTTGATAAACCCTAACAGGATCCTAAACACATGCACTTTATAAACAAACCACGTTTTCTATAATAACTATAACCATCTGACACTCTTCCTAATTGTCTTGTAAAAATTGGGAAAGCACAAACATTTTTATTCACCGGCAGTGCCTTGTCACTGCTTCCGGTGAACACTCTGAGCCAGACCTTGGGGGACAGCTGGCCCGGCAGGGAAGGCCGATGTGCGATCTGAAGCCCAGGGAAACCCAGAGAGTCCTGAAGCAGGCAGGTGGAGAGCCTGTCGTGGGGGTGCTTATCTGCGCATGACAATGGTCTCCAGCGCCAGGTTTCACGAAAGCCAGCGTTGGGTGCGGGTGATTTGGGGACTAAGATTCCTTCTCACAAGAATGCTCAGGTACATTCACAGTAGGGTCTGCACTCCTATGGGAATCCAGTGCCGTGGTGGATGCAACGGAAAGCCCGGGACCGGAAACACAGGACCGGAAACACAGAAGATGCTTTGCATGCTGTGCTGGCTACCCACCTCTTCCTGTGTGGCTGGGTTCCAAACAGGACCATGGCCCTGGAGCTGGGGACCTCTGGTCCAAGAGACCAAGCAAAACCTGCAGTTCAGCACTTGGGAACTGGAAGGACAGTCTTGGAGATGTATTTCAACAAGAGTTTGAATTATTTCTGGTTTCCTGAAATCTGTGAAGGTCAGCTCAGCATGGGGTCTTGGTACCAGTGGTTGCTTTAACCCTTTGAGACAGATTGGAAGTCTTCTCGACTGAAGTTTTGTCAAGGCTTGGAGCCCCACGCACCCCGTCATCAGCTCCTGTGGACACCATCTCAGAGGATGGCATTAATTCAGGAAGTCAGAACTATTGCAGGCAGAAGGAGCTTTTTGCTTTTTCCAAACTGAATCCCTTACAAAGGTTTCATTCACATGATGAGAAAGACATAGTGACTATTCATGGACAATGAAAGGGTTCCAACCCTCAGGACCAAACTCCCCTGTTAAGGCAAGCCCGCCAGCGCTGATGAGGCAGACAGAGAAATGCACCAGCACTCACCAAGACCCTCTGCAACAGAAATCAGTCTGTCCCTGGGAGGACGGGACTCCTGCCCTGCGGTCCTGCACCTGTCACTGAGATGCCCAGAAATGCAAGCTCGGTGTTTGCTTCAGACCCTCTCCCAGCCCCGAGACCCAAACCCCTCACCCTGACGGCAGGAGTCTTTTCAGCGAAGTAGTGTGTCCTAACTACTCCCTGGTCCTTGGCTGCAGGTAGATTCTTTCCCGAGCATGTGCCCCTCCAAGAAGACTCGGCCATCCTGCACTGCAGCGCATAGTCAGCCCCAGCCCCAGAGCCAGCAAGAGCGAGCTGAGCCTCCAACCCCCATGGCAGTTCCCTAAGGAGGCACTGTGCTGGCTCATCTCCCTCCCCTTCTCTCTCCTTCCTTTCCACTTTTGCTTTATAGTTTTTATTTTGAGATGGGAGGTGTCTTGCTAAATCACCTAGGCTGGCCTTGAACTTGTGATCTCCCCACCTCACTGTCCCAGGCAGCTGGGATTGCAGGTGTACAGGTGTGTGCAAACACTCCTGGATAATTTCTCCCCCTTTTAAGAAATCTCCCTTCCTTCCAAGATGTAGCTCTGTATGGATTTCGGCTTCTAATAAAACACCTACAGGTAGACCTATAGCAGCTGATCATCTGACAAACAGGAAGGTTCAGCTCGTGGCAGCTATGTACATGAAAAAATCTTCAGTCAGAGTGGAAGGGAGAGGAAAAATTACTGCCCAGGCAAAATCCCTAAAGAGTTCGTTTGGATTTTTTTCACCCTAAAGAAAATACATGCACTAATAAGGTTACTGGTTTAAGATAAAGATTTAAGATAAAAATTTCAATTTTTTAGGAATAGTTTTATCACAGAAATTATCAGTATGTAAGTGTTCACTGGATTTGTCAACATAGGGGCAGAAATTAAATGCACGTTAATATCATTTGATATTGTAATGATACACAGCAGTACCTGATAATAATCTTTCACATTACAAGAAATTTTAAAAAGTTATTTAAACCTGACCATGGTGGCATATGCTAGCATTTGGGAGGCTGAGGCAGGAGGATTGCTGTGAGTTCGCGGCCAGCCTGGGCTACATTGTGAATTCAAGGCCAGCCTGAACTGCATAGTGAGACCCTGACTCAAAAAGACAAAAACAAAAAAGTCATTTAACAAACAACTACTGACCCTTCTTGTGTGCCAGGCAGTGTGTGTGGCACTGGAATAAAAGTAGAGATAAATAAGCCAGTGTCTGCACTTGTGGCTCTTTCAATTTAATGAGAGGGAGGCACTTGTAATTAATTAAATGCCTGGCAGGGTGAATCTGTTTTGAAGAAGGTAAGAAGTATGGGCAGCAATGGGGTCCTTAAGGAGAAGGCCACCTGAAGCTGAGCGGCCAAAGGCCACGCGGGGTGGAAGGGGTGCTCCTGGGGGAGGCCAGCTGAGGGCTGAGGACCCTGAGGGACAGAACTCAGGGCCGGATGGACCGGGGCAGCAGGCACAGCGCGGGAGCCTGCAGGCTGCAGAGAGGAGGGGTCAGGTCAGGAGGGCTCTGTGCGCCTCTGTGTGCGCTGTCTTAAGAAACAGGAAATGGACTGGGGTGGTGATTACAGAACGAGCACAGGCCACTCGCTGGGCCGGGGGCGGCGGTAGAGGAGGGAAGTGGCACACGGAAGGCAGAAGGGTGCTCCAGTCCGGAGCCCAAGCCTGCTGCTGTGCCACCTTGAGAAGTCCAGAAGCTTAACTAGGGGACTCGGCAGCTCTGATCCCTGGGGTGTAGAGGACGAGCAGTTGCTGTAGTTGCCGTTGGAGGATGTGTTGTGTCCATTCCAGAAAGTCAGACATGATTCAGCCAGGGGCCAGGGGCCCTAGTTTGTTACCTCTCAGCCTGTGCAGGAGGAGGGCAGGCCGCTGGTGTGAGTGCCACACCAGCCGGGGGAGCAGCCTGCTTACAGCAAAAGAGAAATCAGTCGCCTTCAGCCTGGACATGGGCTGCTGGCTTCTGCCTGGGACTCCAGCCTCTGTCATAGATTCTTCCGCGTTCCATGCAGACCCATCGCCTCCTGAGACAGACGTGGGCGGGACACCACGCTGAGCTCCAGCCCTGTGCTGCCCGCCTCAGCCTCCCGTGTGCAGAGGCCCCTGCAGGCTCCCTCATCCGACTTCCTGGCCCACCACTGCGAGCCAATCCTGTGATTTCTTATACATCCGTTTATCTTGTGTTATTTCTGTTTCTCTAGGAAACCCTGACTGATACATATGCAGGCACCAGTAGCATCAGTAATGTGACACTTACATCTTCTTCCCTGAAGGCCAGCGCCACACATAATGGTCCTTGCGATTTATGGTACATTCTAGAGCCCTTAGCACCCTGAAGGTTGGCATAAGACCTTTTATACTTCACGCTCAGGTAGAAAAAGGAAGTGTCCAATGATATTGCTCTTTCTTTTATTTGAAGATATTCAACTCTAAAAATAGCACTGCACCCTGAACAAGTGCGGAAGATTGCTCCTCATGCGGGCTTCTAACCGCTGCACGGCTGCTGCTTCACACGAGCTGCTCAGTAAAAATCTGTCCAAGTGACTGAACTGAGCCCAGCCCCAGCTTTGAATCGCAGCTAGTTCTGGGGGTCGGGGTGGGGATCTTCCGGGGAAGCATGTCAGCAGGGTGACAGCCAGCCTCGTGTTTAGGTTTCAAGCAATTCTTTGTCATCCTTTCCTTTTGTTTTAATTTTTCAAATTTGTATCAGTCATGTTTGCAGAACCTAATGATCCCATCTGTCTTGGGGAGATGGCGCATGTTGAGGTACTAATTCTCCGTGATAGCCGTACTTTGCTCCCCGGTGACTACAGGATTCCTGAGGTCTCTGAGTTAAAAAGGAAATGAGGGGGCAGGTCTCAGACACCCTGAGATGTGCTCCTGACAGCCGCACCAAGAAGCAGAACCATGAAAAAGTGCCCGTGATTTACAGTAGTCATGTCTACCACCAGGGGGCCCCCTTCTATTATTAGTGAGGCAAGAACTGAGCTGGTAAATTTCAGGCAGTGAAATGGACTAGGCTTTTTTTTTTTTTTAATAGTACAGAGAAGCTGGGGATGTAGCTCAGCCGCACAAGTGCCTGGCTGGCAAACACAAGGTCCTGAGATCTCCCGGTACCAATAAATAAATAAAGAAATAAATAAAATACAGAGGAAAGTAATCCCCATGATTCTGTGTTATGAAAACTGTCACATCCCTGTCTTTGAGGTCAGCTTAGAACTCCAATGGTTTCAATGCCTGAGATTTACAAAGGTAACACTGACGGTGTGAATTCCAACTCCTGTCACCTTCCCAAGGATCTCAGCCCCATCCCCTTTCCTCCCCTGCGCCCTGACCCTTCCCCAGCAGACCCACTCTGCAAGCCCCCTGGCTAAAGCACCCGAATTCCCTTAGGGTGGTTCTATTTCTCAGCAAACCAACTGTCTCATGGCTTTGTAACCTCTCCCACCTGGGTCTCCCCTAACCCATTCCAGGCTGAAAGTACTCAAGATCAGCAGAGATGTCGCCACTGTCCGGTTTAACATTTCTGTCCCTTTCCACCCAGTGCTAGCCGCCAAAGAGCCCTTCCAAGGACACTCTCTCTGCCTCAGGCCTCTGCATACCCCATGCCAGGCTTCTGTCTGTCTCCCCCCCACCACCACCACCAAAGCGCCTGGCTCCTCCTCCCAGCCTCTCCCTGGGTGATCCTGTCCTGTCCTGGGTGGATTTAAAGGCTGTCACATGCTGGTGATTTCCATCTCTGTTATCTTGGGCCCAGGACCCCTCTCGGTGTCCTGGTCTCTCGTCCCGCCACCTGACCTCCATTCCCCTTTTTGGAATGCCAGAGGCAGATCTTCACAAACTCCTCTCTGTCCCTCCAGACCTTTCCTCCTCCCTCTGGGTTCCTACACCCAGTTGCCCATTGGAGAGGTCAGCCCGATGGTCAATGGGCTCCCCCTGATTCTCCACCTCCACAACGCTGTCCTCTTAAAATCTTCTCCACCCCACTGCCCTGTCAGAACCCCGAACCCCAGCCGCTGACATGGTTTCCTTCCCTCCCTCTCTCTCTCCCATTTTCTTCCCATTGGTGGAGACTGGACCCAGGGCCTTTACACTGAGCTTCAGCCCATGTTTTTTTCAGGTAGGGTTTTGCTAAGTCACTAAGTGGTCCAAGGTTGCCTCAAATTTAAAACCTTCCTGGCTTGGCTGCCTAGCGTGCTGGGATTACAGGAATGTGCCACTATCCCCAGCTCTGCATGATTTAAAGTAGTCTAGTGGTAGAGAAGGGGTCCAGGCAGAAGAGCCCCATGATTCTACACTCTGTGGTACTTTGTGCCCATTCTAGAGACCGTAAGGTGCCTGGCCTGACCTGTCCATCTTCTGCTTGGCTCACCTGGGAGGTATCTTGACTGTTTCAAGTAGTACTGCTTAGGTGCTGACACAGCTGCCAGTTCAGAATCGGATTTGAGAGAGACAGCGGCAGGCACGCTCTTGGGGTCCCTGGGCGGGTGGTTGGCGCCCATGAGTCCTGACTCCTGAAGCCTGGGAAGCCGAGAGGAGACCTACCGAGTTAGGAGAAGCAACCTTTCCTGCCCTCCATGCATCCTTTTAACTCTCAGTGTGACTCCCCAAGATGCTTTCTGGTAGAGCCCTTGTGCTGACAGGGCGGGAACAACACCCTGCCCAGACATCAGCAGCATGGGGACCCTTTCTAGTCCCAGATGGGATGTGGGTGACGCTTTCTTTTGGCAGTACTGGGGACTGAACCCAGAGCCTTCAAACTAAGCTACTTCCCCAGTCCTTGCTCATTGTTTGCTTATTTCTTTATTTAGACAGGGTCTCACTGAGTCGCACAGGCTGAACTCAACCTTGTAACCCTCCGGCCTTGGCCTCCCGGAGTGCTGGGATTACAGTGTGTGAGGCCACCCTGGGCTGCAGAACCAACCCACAGGTGCTGCCGAATGGAATGATCCTGTGTTTCCCTGCAGCCGTGTCTGTTTAGGAATGGACAATGTTAAAGGAGATGTTAGAACCCGGGCCCCTATTTTCCTCTCTCTTTACTTCCTGACTGCCATGCAGTGAACCAGCCTCCTCTGTTACATGTTCCTACCGTGTGCTTCAGGCCTGGGGACTGAAACCGTGAGCCAAACAAACCCTTCTTCCCTATGAGGCGATTGCCTCAGTTACGCTGTCACAGTGGCGGAAAGCTCACTACCACAGGGTGAAGTGGACCTTTTCTTAAGTGCGGGTATTTTAGGGCTGAGGCCCGTGGCACAGGTTCTTCAGGGCTTGGGCCCCTCACAGCAAGGCTTCTGCCCTGGGCAATGACAAATGGATGCTAGATAAGCTTCCCCCAGGCAGGACACAACTCTTCTCCTTATCCCTCCTGTCTCAAGGGGTCACCCACATTTAACCCATCCTTATCTCAGCAGTGAACAGTGCATCAAGGATGACTAATTTATGAAAAGAAATGAAACTGCCGAAGGTATTAAACTGCCAGAAGGCTCAGGAAGCGATCAACAAGGTTCACAGGCAAGCTCAGAGTGAACCCTTGACACTGTCTGAGGCTGCCGAGGACCTTGTATATGGTGCTCGGCTTCCTGCAGACAGACACATGGATTTCCGACAGGGTTAACCATGGTCATGACTAACAAGAGCAGCGTACAAACAAGAGCCCTTCCTGCACACACACGCGCACACGCGCACACACGTGGCACTCGTGAATGACTTTAAGAAGAGTCTTACCTTTTTAGAGGTACTCATAAATATTTGAGCTTTGTAGAAGAAACTATTAAGCTGCCTCTTTGTGCTTTAAGATCTATGTTTATTTATGTTTAATAAAATAAGGTTGATGCATCATAAAAATTATAAAGTCTTACCGAAAGGGAGGATCTTTTTTCCTCTTTTCTTTGAAAACACCAATGCTTGGCTTCTTGGAATGGGAGGCTCCGAGATCACCATCCTCAAACTCCTCCCAGCTGTCCCCAGACTTGAAGACAGCCTGACCCCAGCGCCTCCTGGCGGTTTTGTGACCCAGTGTGCCGCTGGGCTTCTGTGGGGGAAGTCGATGGTTACGATCTTTAATCATCTCTGGACGCCTTTCACGCACATCAGACGCGGAGTCCCCATCCTTTATGGAACCTTCCCCAGACAGCCGTGGACGGTCATGGCCACTTCGTCTTCGTCAGGACACACTCTTACAGAGGCATCCAGAGGTGACTGTCACTGTACAAAAATCAGAGCGCACCCTGCGTGGCACAGCCTGCCACGTGCCCAGGCTGAATGTGACAGCAGCGAGCCAGTATCACAGGGCACTGTGCTGAACGCGGTGACCGTCACCAGGGGTTGGCATGTGTGTCTGAGCAGAAACGTGAAGTAGGGGGGTGGGATTGTAGCTCAGCAGCGGAACACGGGCTTAGTATGCAGGAGGGCCTGGATTCAACCCAGCACACACATGCACACATGCACACAAACATTCACGTACGCACAAATAATCAAAGGAAAAGGTACATAAAATCCAGTAGAACAGGTTACCGATGATGCTTCTCAGCATAACCGGAGCCTGCAGGACTTGGAATTGCTGTGGGTGAGTTGGTCACTAAGAGAGTAAACGTGAACGTCCAGGGCACTGCTGATGGTACTGGTAGACTCTATACATAAGACACACTTAGGAATGGGAATGGTAAATTTACACTAAATTTATATAAAAGTGTGTTGTTTTTTTTTTTAAGACAATGTCTTGCTATGTATTTCAGGCCGGGCCAGCCTTAACTCAAAATCCTCCTGTCTTAGTCTCTCAAGTGCTGGGATTATTACTATGCCCAGTAAAAACTACTTCTGTCTTCAAAAATAAACCAACTTAAAAAAAATCAGCTTGGCTTACAGTAACTTTTTCCTTTACAAACTTTAAACACTTTTAAACTATTTTATTTTTAAATTTGTAACCTTTAAACTTGTAATGACAGCTAAAAAACACCAGGACATTCTAGGTGACGGGAATTGTTTTAGCTCCATGACAATCTTAAGGGACCACCACAATAGTGGGGTGCACTGGTGGTGGGAACGTTGTCCGGTGGTACAGGACTGTACTTAAGGAAGTAGTATGCATGCACCATTAAGAGCATTAACTAAATAGGCAGCATGGGCCCCTGGACTGATCGTTGCTCAGAGGGAGGCAAGATCGACACAAATTTGGGATGGAAGGAACGTGAATACTTAGGATCTGACTCTTCTTTAATGTGAAGGGTCTAGGGAATGAGGCATCTTAGTTATTTTCTTTCATTGCTGAGACAAAATATCCAACACCCACAAGTTAAAGGGGGGAAGATTTATTTAGCTCACAGTTTGTGGAGGTTTCAGTCCATAATTTGCTGGCTCCAAGGCAGGGTGGCTCATGGCACAGGGGCAACCGTTTATGGTGGTGGAAGACAGCAAAAGCAGCAAGGGAGAGCGCATGAGCCTCTTTCTGTCCTTTATGCTGCATGCAGGCTGCCAGGACGAGGGTGGCACCCGCCCAGTCAGTGGACTGATCCAGCAGTCACCCACCCTTCATCCTACCACTGATCTATGAATCAATCACATGCTCTAGATTCAACCACCTCTGAAAAAGCTCCATCTGAAACTGCATAAGGCTTTGGGGGGACATCTGGACACAAACCATAACCTGGGGCCTTGGCTGTATCTCTTTGGGCAAGGGACTGAGCTTTTCAAAGCTCTAACACCCTTCTTCACCAGGGATGGCCTTGAGGAGGAGGCACTAAGGCTGGCACATCTGGTGTCTTTCCTGCTCCCTTCTCCAAAACACCTCTGCCATGTGACAGAGTGATCCCAATAGACACAGACAGGGAGAGGGCAGGGGTGACTTTAAAAGTCTGAGTGACAATCTCAGAACACTGGCACCATTCACAGAAGGAAGGAAAGAGGGCGTGGCTCGGGCTGGTTTTATACACATTGACAGAGAACCTTCGGGAGGAACAGGCTCTGCAAAAATCCAAAAGTCAGCTGCAAATCAGGGCACACAGGAATGCTGGGAGCAAAGAGATGTGATGGCACGGAGGTGCTGCGGCAGGAAGCTGAAGGCTCAGGAACGGTGCTGCCAAGCTCCACCCTGCTACTTCCTTTGCCCAGGTGAACAGGCTCTGGATGCAGGAGTCAGTGAAAGCCCACATCTCCCTGGGCCCTGGCTTCCCTTCAGGTGAACTGTACTTGAGGGAACCAAAGCATAAGAGTGCTCAGCAGGCCCAGCAATATCCAAGCGACCCAGCATCTGGGCGGACAAGAGGGGAGCAACCGGAAATGAGCGTCACAGAGTAGGAAGCAGAACTTTGCAAACTCCAGACCAAACTGTCTGATCTAAGGTGAGCGCCAAGATTTTAAGCTCTGTTGTTGGTGAGTCCTAAGGAGAACGACTGTGTCACACAGGCTACTGTTTTTTTCAAGAGCATGCAGTGATACCCTGAGATGTGGGATGTGGACCTCCGTCAAGTCAGTGACACAATTTTTCATGATGTCCTTTTCAGTGAAATGCAGCCAAGAAAGGACAGCAGAGACAGCCTGGTCACACACTCAGTAATTTGACAGAGTGGGGCTTAGTGGGTCGCAGTCCACTTAAAGGGCGGCCCCAGTGCCTTTCTCATCATCATGGACATGCAGGAAGAAAAACCAAAAAATCTAAACAAATCCATAGCTGGCGACAAGGTGGGCTGAATGGTTAAACTGAAAAAATTAAGTGTAAGCAAATGATTAGAAGTGTGGGAGGTAGAAAAGGTCTTGGAGCTATCTGACTTCTAGAGATCAACTACTGAAATAGAAGTACAGAATATGTGGTCAGAAGGAAGTATTACAGAAAACAAATGGGAATTTTAGTTCACAGAATGCTCGGAAGAATCGGCCAAATGGAAATTTAAGGCTAGGTTAACACATGTAGGGGGCCAAGCACAGGGTGGGCACATAATAAAGAGTAACTCCCCTCGCCCAGGGGCAGATTCCTTAAGGGCTACTTTCACATACTGTACTTGATTGGCTGTATTTATTTTAAAGAGGATAAAGTAGAATAAAACCAATCAAAACAAATCAGTGTAAGAGACACAGGCCTAAAAACATTATCAACAATAGTTACCACAATGCTTTTTGATGTCTTCAAAATAGCTGCAGATAACTTTCAACACAGTAAAAATCAAACAGAGCAGAATAGAACAGAAAGAATAAAAACAAGACAACAAATGCAATAAAGGACTTCAAAACAAGCCAGTAGCAAATCCAAAATTGCTATGATAATATATCTTGCTGTCTTTGGAATAGCTGCTCCTGCCATTGGACCTGACATAAACAAAATGAAACAGAATAAAACCCAACCCAACAAAACAATGGAAATGATATAAGACCTCAAAACAAGACCATAAGGAAGACAGAGTAGATCAGGAGATAGGGTCCTTGGGCAGGATCCAATAGCCAGGGACTAAGTTGCCCCCTAAACTGTCCCAAACTGGTTCCACCTGTGCAGCGCACACTAATGTGGGGAAGACCTCCGGTGATTGGCTGGCTCAGAGGGGAGAGGCCAGCCTGCACCCCCGCTGCTTGTACCTCAGTGATCAACAGCAAACTGGAGACGGCAGCAATTCCTAGCCAGCACACTTCAGAGTAATGGTAACCAACACAGAAAGGGCCTGGGTCCTCCACGATTCATCTGTCTGGAAGAAACCAGAAACATGACAAGAGAAAGAAACAGGAAATAAGTCTCCAACCACCAACCCAGGGAATATAGGTCCAGGAGAGGGAAACACAGAAGAGATCAGGGCAACAAACTCATATCCGAAGCAGCATTAGCAGACATAAAGAAATATCTTTGTGACATTATAGAAGAATTCAAAACAGAAATACTAATACAGGTAAAGCAAGATATAAGTAGATTAATAAAAGAAATGCTAAGCACCTCTCAAGAAAACACAGACGGAAGAATGGAGGAACACAGAAAAAAGAGGAAAACCGATGAAGAATATAAAAAAAATTTAGAATAAATGAAACAGATTCAAAGAGATTACCAGGAAATTAAAACTCCATTGAAAGCTGGTAAAATTGCTTAAAAGAAACTCACGATAGACTATCAAAACTTGAAGACAGGTTTGCAGTATGTGATCGTGAAAGGAAAGATCTCTTAAAAATTAAGGAGGAGCCAGGAAGTAACAATATAAAGGCTAGAAGATGATAAGAGGATCTATAACTTAAGAATAAAAAATGTGAGTGAAGAAGCAGAGGTAAACACAATTGAAATACAAAGGCTATTCACAGAAATAATCAAGGAAAACTTCCCAAGCATAGGAAAAGGAAATGATGTTCAGATATATAAAGCATACAGAACTCCAACCACCTGCCACCAAAACAGATCTACACCCAGACATGTAATAATCAAGCTGCCAGAAATTCATCACAAGAACAGAATATTAAAAGCCATCAGAGAAAAGAAACAGATCATCTATAAAAGAAAACCCATCAGAATCAGGACAGACTTCTCAACACAAACCATCAGATCAAGAACAGTTTGGAGTAAAATATTCCGAGCCCTGAAAGAAAATAACCTCCAACCTAGATTAATGTACCCTGAAAAACCATCTCTCAAAATTAATGGAGAAATAAGATGCTTCCATGACAAAGAGGAACTGGGGGGAGGGGGGTTCGTGACCACCAATCCAACCCTACAAATAATACTGAAGGACATTCTAGAGAGGGTGAAAAAAAAGACCACGGCTTCAGGAACAGTGGCAGAGGGGGCTTGCTGAACGGGGCAGACAGTGGAATGAAGGGGAAAAGCAGACAGACAGACAGAAAAATAGCACAGCAGAGATGAGGCAGAGAAGACTGACTATAACACAGATGGCCTTGATACACTAACAAAAAGCACAGGCAGAGTAGATCAGGAGAGAGGGTCCATCAAGATGCTCTATACAAGAAATATAATTAATCTGAAAGAGGGTTTATGGACCGAAAGTCAAATATGAGAAAACAATGCTCTATCTGACAGGGAACCAGAGAGAAATAGGGGCAGCTTGTCCAGCAGCTATAGATAGTTTGGAAAGACAGGACACTTTTGTGCAGTGGAGAACTACTCAGCTATAAGGAAGGAAAATCTTGAGGCTCTTGTAGGTAAAGGAATACAACTTGAGATCAAGCTCATGGGGTAAAAACGTTCAGAACCACTTAGGTCAATAGTAGGTTGCCTCTCTAGAAGCTAAAGGAGTTAGGGGGACCCAAAATGTACAACACACCCTGTGAAAGGGGAGGAATTGTCTAAAAAGGGAAGGCAGAGGGCACTGTTAATAGTGTATCAGGATTTAAAATCCACATTGTTCTCATCGCTCTGTTTAGTTTGATTATATTCTGTTCCAGTCTGTCTACTTATACTAGATTTGAGGGCACAGACAGCTCTTCCAAAAATAACAGTATGTACTATGGCAACCATCCTTAATTTCCTATTAACTTAATCTGAAGCCCTGTATTACCTACACTATCTTATTTAAATCTAGTTTGTTACATCACTGTGTTAACTGATTTTATTCAAATCTGTTATATTTGGTAGTTTCAAGTCTGAGAGTATAGGCAACCACTCTGAAGATAACAAGATACACTAGGATACCCACTCTGGTTTGACTATTACTTGCTTTTGAAGTCCTATAATGTCTCCAATGCTTTTTTAAATTAATATTGTTATGTACTGCTATATTCAATTATACCATGTCTGATGATATAGACAATTCTATAGAAGATAACAAGAGACATCATAGTAACCATTGTAGATCACCTCATATTGTGTTTTTAATCTTGTTCTATGTCCAGCCTTTTGTTTTGAATGACCCCGTTTTTGTTTTCTTTCTCATTTGGTTTTATTCTTTTCAAAATAAAAAATAAAATAAAAGGTACAGACAACCAGATTTCTTGCTCAGGATAAAGATGACCTTTCTAATCCTCAGGACTGTCATGAAGATGACATAGACTCCTGCAGAGTCTGCAGGTCATTTGAAAACAGTGGAAAATCATTCATTCCTTCATCCAAAGACTACTGAGAACGTGCCATGTGGCAGGCACTGTTCTGGGATCTGCAGCTGTGCCAATAAACAGAAAAATATTCCCAGCCTCACAAAGCCTGCATTCTACTAGAAAGGCCCAGATCACTAGTGATAAAATAAGAACGAAATAAATCACAGTATGTTAGAGTGGAGTTGGGTTGTTAGTCTATAAGTCAGTGTGTTTGCACCCTGAAATGCTGTAACACAGAGGCATTCGGGATTGTACACCCGAGAGACCGCGGAAGTAATACAGCTGTTATGGCTTGTGTCTAGATGTCCCCCGAAGCCTCACGCAGCCCCAGGTGGGGCTTTCAGAAGGTGACTAGATCCTGGGTGTGTGATTCTGGATTAGTCCACTCGTTGGTTTAGGTTGTGGACAATGGATTTACCTAAGAGATAGACAAGAACCATGCTGGGTGTGGGTGGCACCAACCACCAGGCTCATAGAAGGGAGGCTCACTGCATCCTGTCTGCCACTCACTGGACCGTTTGTCTTCTGTGCAGCCCTGCCTTGGAGCCAGCCATGATGGACTGAAACCTCTACAAACTGAGCTAAAATAAACCTTTCTTCCTTTAACTTGTGGTTGTTGGGTACTTTGTTCCAGTAACAAGAACATAACTAAGACAAGGACACTTGATGGGCTCCCACACCCAAACACCAGAGGGAAGAGGTAGTTTCAGTCTGAGTCTGATACCTGAAAAATCCATTCTGTTCATCTTCATTAGCAGTTTAAAAGTGTGAAATTACCATTAGGAGCCTTGAGAGTCAGGATCAGTATTCTAGGGGCTCTATTAATTAATTTATTTTGCATGATGCCAGATTGAACCCAGCTGTCACACTGAGCTACTTCCCCAGCCCCTTTAAAAATTTTTTAATTTTGTTCGATTTGGAAAAAGAAATTATAATTCTGAGACTGGGTCTCACTAAGTCACTAAGTTGCCCAGATAAGACATGAACCTTGATTCTCCTGCCTCAGCCTCCCAGAGTTCTGGGAGTACAGGCTTGCACTACCAAGCCCAGTTTTATTTTTTTGAATTCTTTTGCGATAGAAAGTAACTACGAAAGGAAATCTGCAGCATGCCAACTTTTAAACTTTTAATTTGCAAGTTATTCTCTTTTAGACCCTGTTAGAATGTCATGTTGTCTTGCGTCAAGCACCTCCCAGAGGAAGGGGAGGCTTTAACACAGAGCGGCTTTCACATCTTGCCCAACATTACTGAAGATGCCTGGAGGCAGAACCCTGGCTGCCCCAGCCCAGCCATGCCTGCACCGTGTCACTGATGGCTACTTACAGCCGGCACGTTTTTGATGATGCTTGGGAACAGTGGTGCTTTCTGTTGACCCTGTTGCTTTGGGGGTGGCGGGGTTCCCACGTTCTGCAGAAGCTGAATGGACTGCAGAGGCTGGTGGCTGTGCTTTGGCTGGGGCGGTCCGACAGGCTGGTCGCTTACATCCGGCAGAGTCTTAGGTTCCATTTCAGCTGACGTAGGCTTTGAGTCCACCGGCTGCAGCTGCTTATTTGAAGACTGTTTGGATTCCAGATGGTTCAAGGAAGGGCCTAACACTTGGCCAACTTGGAAATAGGGGTGTTTCAGTGCCTGTAAGAGCACGGATATGTCACATTACATTAACATATGGCCAGCCCAAATGGTCCCAGTTTAAGTCATGCGTACCCTTGGGATGTACTGCCTGCCATGAACAATGTAACAGTGGTTTTATTTGTTGATTTTTTTTTTTTTTTTTGTCTTTTTCGTTTTTATCGGTACCGGGGATTGAACTCATGACTGCCTGCTTGCAAGGCAGGCGCTTATGCTGCTGAGCTAAATCCCCAGCCCCTGTTGATTTTTTTTTTTTTTTTTTGAGACAGGGTCTTGCTATACAGTTCAAGCTGGCCTTGAACTCACTGGGTAGCCTACACTGGCTTCAAACTTGCTGCAGTCCTCCTGCCTCAGTCTCCTGGGCGCCAGGATTACAGGCTTACACCCTAAACCCACTTGATTTTTCTTTCCTTTTTTTCCTTTTGGTGCTTGTTACTGAAACCAAGGCCTCTCACACATGCTAATCATGTAGTCTACTACAGGATTAGATTTGCCACCCTTTCGAGGCCAGCTTCCTCTTACACTAATCTCTGCAGCTCATAGGGTGGAGCTCTCTGCCATTTCCTAGGCCACTATGTCCACCCTGTTCCTTTCTGTGACTCCTCAGCTCATTCTCATACCTGCCCGCCCCCTTCCTGAATTACTTATTCTTGTTCCAACGGGCCATGACTATTGTTTCCCATTTGTTCTTTCTGATGGCCTTAGAAGATATTTTCTTAAGGTAAATTTAAAAAACAAGGCGAAATAAGAGTTTGGTAGTTTTCGCTTAGTAGTTATATTTAAATGATGAGAATGTAATAACATTGGTTAATTTTTCAAATGTAAGCCTCTGAGGTACAAAGAAGGCGTGGCATAGGTCAGTCAGGAAAGAACAAGGGGCAGGCATGCAGTGCTGCCCTCTAGAGGAGCCAGAGGCGACCTGTGTCGCTCCTGTCCTAGGCAGGAAGATCCCCAGCGGTGTACAGCAAACAAGAATTCCACCTGCCAAAGGGCAGCGCGGAACCGATGGGAGAGACTGATTTCTGCTACCCAGGCCAAGTGTCTTCCTAACTAGTTTGTCCCATCCTGAATTAAAATTTGATTCTGTCTAAGCCCAGTAAATTTCCTCACTGGAAGCCAAAAAAGAAAAGAAAACCAGGAAACAACATAGCAGCTATCACCGCATTTCTCCCCAGGACCTCGCGTGCCTAGAGGACCTCGCGTGCCTAGAAGCAGATTGATTACATTGCCTGCAAGTCTTGTTTTCTTGGTAAAACCCTGGCTGCGAAAAGATCTGCCTTTGTAACGAGTACGCCCTGCTATTTATCGTAAAACCCCAGCACTGTAAGGGGTTGTTGCAGGGGGCTTGCGCACCTGGCTTGCGGTTGGACGTTTCTTTGGGTCCCAGTTCAGCATCTCGGTCATCAGGTGAATGGCTTCACTGCTGGCGTTGGGAATGAGAGTTTTTAAGTTGATGGGAACACACTGGGGAAATCGGAAATTCATGGAGGAGGCAAGCTGGTATCCTTCTGGCCAGTCGCTCTGTTTAAGCGATATTCCAAGTGCAGGCGGGGAGAGCACAAATAAGATTGTTTTTAGAAATCAATTTTAAGACACAGCAATAATATAAAAATCATTCAGGTGGTGACATTTTTAATCTTTTTCTTTTTGGTCTTTTTGAGATGGGATCTCGCTATGCGGTTCAGGCTGGCCTTGGGCGCACTTGGTAGCTCAGGCTGGTCTCGAATTTGCAACAATCCTCCTGCCTCAGCCTCCCGAGTGCCAGGGTTACAGGTGTGCACCACCATGCCTGGCTCAGAAAATTTTAATTTGTATGAGTAAGTGTAAAAATAAAATACCAGACCTTCTAGATGATTCAGTCTTATAATAAACAACATAGCAAAAGAACATTAAATGGGGAGTTAGGAAAAAACACACCTGGGAGATTGTAATAATTACATTAAAGCTTTCGTGTCTACATTTTGGATGAGAAGGCACACATGGCCTTAATCAGGACGCAACTATACTTAATTAACACTTTTTCAGTACAGCTTATAAGGTACGCTCTACTGAAAACTAACATGAGCTGAAAAGTCCTGCAGTCAGAGTTTAGGAAACCAAGTGTGTATGGCAGAGGAATATAAATCTGGCCAAGAAAGAGTTATAAGGAAACAGGGCCCAGAGCCCCAGGGGTTAATAAGCCCATGAGGATTCACGAGCCAGCAGGGAAGCATTAGAGCAGAGCTGTGTATGTGGGTATCAGCGGGTCACCGAGCCAATGTCACCCAGTAAATAGATTAAAAATGTCCTTGAAGGTTTTTTGTTTTGTTTTTTGTTTTCTTGTCTTTTTCAGGTAGGGTCTCACTATGCAGTTCAGAGTGTCCTCCAACTGATTCTCCTGCCTCAGCCTCCCAAGTGCTGTGACTACAGGCATGCGTCACCACACCTGGCTCCTGTAAGTTTTTAAGGACAGGCAGACACTGCTGTCTGTCGGTCTCAGGGGATTCTGGCTCCTTGTTGTTTTTATCTCACCCCAACCAAAAAATAAAAAGTGTAAGAAAACCATTAAAGTATAAAACTATCTGAAAATGAAAACTCAAATACATAGTAAACATTTTTTTAGGCAAAACAAATCATCAAAAGATACAATTAAAAGAAAAACAGCAGGTTGGAAATAATCAAAAGTCATCACGGTTTAAGGGCCAAGAGTACTCACTTTTTTGGGAGTCCCTAACACTTGGCAGATTTTAAAGATTTCATCAACCTCACTTGTCCCCGGGAAGAGCGGTCTCAACGTGTACAGCTCTGCCATGATGCTTCCCACGGCCCACACGTCGATGGGAGAACTGTACACTGACGATCTCAGCAGAACCTCAGGAGCTCGGTACCTAAACAAGCAGTAAACAGAACAGGGCTGTGGTGAGTGAAACCTCACAGGCGGGTGGGTCACGGCTGAAAACGCTGTTAGGAGCTGGGGCCTGGCTGGAGGTGGTTCCCAGAAGCGTGACCTGGAGGGCCGCGTTCTTTTCTCTGGCTCCTCCCTTCCCTCTCTGCGTCCTGGCTGCCATGAGGCGAGCACCTGTCCTCCTCCCTCCCTCCTACTGCACTGCCAGCACGGACTAGCACCATGAGCTGAATTAAACCTCTCTCCCTTTAAATTGTGGGTATGGAGTATTTTGCTCCAGCAATGGGAAAGCAGCTAAGACAAATCTTCTAAAGAATCTTTTCTGCAAGAGGAGATCCTCCAAAGCTAAATATGCACTAAAAAATCACTATATTATTTGATATAAAGCTACTGTATTATTTGAGCTCCTAACAATTTGTTCGGGAGGATAAATGCCATTGTCTTCCTTTATTCAAGCTTTGTTTTCAAGAACTGCCACGTGCTAGAAGCGTCAAAGACTCTGAAATTTGGTCCTCTGTTTATTAAAGATTCTGAATTAGGACTTCCAAATGAAAAAAATGAAACCAAAATTTGAAGGACTTGTTTACAAGGAAGTGAGTGTCACTCACATCCCCTAAATTGGTTTACCAGGTAATTCTTTAAGGGCGATGACAGGTGGCAAAAGTGTGACCACCCACAGCCATGCTCAAGTTTTGGGCTTATTTTTTGTAGTTAGTACCAGCTTTGTGACAAAAATTGACATTTTGGTCACTTTACTTCTGCAAGTAAACCGTCTGCATTTTGACTGGTAGAATGTGTGGGTGCAAATCCACAACAGATGCACATCCTGACTGATCGAGGTCTCTTTCTGCTTTCTGGGGGCCCTACTTTGGCAACAATACTGTGTCTGCGTGGAATTTGTTGGCTCCATCACTGCAAAACAGGAATTTTCTCTTCCGTGTTGGACCTAACTGAAGTCACAGCAGCACTTGCAGTAATATCAGATGTTTCAGCTCTCACAGAACGAACAACCCGAAGTTTCACCTGGATTCAATGAACTTTAAGTCATTTTTAGGAACAAGAAAACTGATTTTCCCTCTGCAGCATTTGAAGAGATTTTTTAAAGCCGGCATCATGCAGCTGTGAGGTGCTTTCCCCCGGGAAGCAGCTTGTACTCTGACAGCCATTTAGTACCGTTAGTAAGTTGCCTAACAAAACTTGAAGTGAAATGTAAGTGAAATTGACTTAAAAAGAAGCCTCACTGACCTAACCCAGGGCACCTCCTGGAATCCTGTGAGGTTCACCGCAGGTCGCCTGTGGCTGTCTCTGAACAGAAGATAGCGACTAACTTTTCCAGTGGGTTCTGGTCTTCACCAAGCGATGACCGACCATGGCCCTGGTGATGAGTGACAAATTCCAGCACATTTTGTGTCAGTTGTCAGCATTTCTCTCCTCTCTCTCTTGTTCCTTTTCTTTAGCATTTCTCTTAAGGAATAGACAACACCTATTTTTTTTTCCAGTAAATATGCACTGTTGTGTCTTGGAGTTCCCTGTTGATGAAAGATTTCACTGCAAACTAATTCCTTAAGCGAACTTTCCCAAATGTGTTCCATCAAGCTGTAGTAACAAAGCGCTCAACCTGGATGGCTGAAAGCATCAGGAGTTTGTTCTGTCAACAGCTCAGGAGGTGGGACTCTGAGACCAGGATGCTGGTGCGGCTCTGATTCATCCCTGGAGCGTCCAGGGGAAAATCTATTCCAGGCTGTTCCAGCTGCTGGTGTTGCCAGCAGGCTTGGACACTGCCTGGCTTGTGGACCTGGCGCCTTGACCTCCATTCTGCCAGCATGGTGCTGTCACCCTGGGTGTCCTCACACAGCGTCCTGTGTCCCTGACGTCTCTGTGACCTGCTAAGGAGGACGCAGGTCTTACAGGATTAAGGGCCCCCACCCCCACCCCAGTGTGGCTCAGCTTAACTCCTTTACATCTGCAAAGGGCCTGTCTACCACTGAAAGCCACACTCACAGATCTCGGGGCTTTAACATTAGAGGACACAATTCACCTTGTACGACCAAATGGTGACATAGTTATAGATTTATAAAATGTAATAATCACTGGAAAGAATAGTCAGACTACAATATGCCCTACACTGCTGAGTGTTACTTCCCACACCTCTTGTGCACCCCAAGTCCTACCGCTGGACATCTCAAAGGCTATGGCCGAGGCCATGGCCCAGCGGCTGCTGTGCCATCCTGTGGCTGGCCAATGCTTCTCCAGTGACAGCCACACTGACGATCACTCCCTGTCTGAAATATCTTGTTATGATACCTCATGAAAGGAAACAAGCTCTGAGAAATCATGGCCCAAACAACTTGGTTTACTGTCCGTGGGTCTCTGACATCACCCGATCAGACCATGGCGGAAGCAGGAGACATGCAGGAGGCTCCCTCTGACCCAGCCTGGAGTATTTCTGAGAAACTGTTGACAGTGGCACTGGGGGAAACTGTCCCGGCAAACGGCCACACAGCCGCTCTCCCCAGGGTCAGTCCTCAGATCTCTCGCTCCCCTCGGCTCTCATCCAATCCTGGGGTTTCTTTCACTGACCACCCTGGTGAAGTGTGTGTTTCCAGCCCGGTCCCTTCTCCACACTCGGTGACCGCCACAATCAGGCAGGAGACTGGTAGGGCTCTTGCCTAGCATGCACGAGGCCCTGGGTGTGATCCCCAGCATCAATCTATGTAAGCAAACAGAGCAATAAAAAACAGCCAACCTCCTCCTCCCTCCCCATCTCCCAGCTCCAGGTCCTCTGCACACTTTCCTCCAATGTATGTGTGTGTCTATTCTTATTCTTACTGGAGCACAATAAAAGGAAACGCACTTACTGTCACAGGGGCGGGCACACACAGCCCACACTCATGGACCCAGCATCCGGGTCATTCTCCCAGGCCCCCACACAGCAGGTGCTGTGACCCGCCCTCCGGGGAGCCACTGTCAGATTTTACACGGCATTCGTTAGATTCCACTATCTTTGCACTTTGGAGAAATGGAATCACACTTTTTCTATTTGGCTTTTTGATAGAGATTCCCTTTGGGAGGTTCAGACACAGTGCTGTGCATAGCCACCGACTGTCCATCCCCATGGCCGGGTCTGCAGCTGGGACTACTGCATGCCTTTCAGTGAACACGTGTATGCCTTTCTGTTGGTGACTCAGGATACTTTTAGCTTATTCGTGTACTGGCTGTCATTTAAGCAGCACAAGGAAGAGGGTTTTATTTTCTCTCATTTATGGCTGGGTTCCCAGTGTCTAAAATAATGTTTCGCATGTAGTAGGTGTTCCGTGTTGTTTGTTGAATGAATGAATGAATGAATGAATGAAATCTTTTTTTTGGGGGGGGGGGTATTGGAATCAAACTCAGGACCTCATGCTTGCCAGGCAGGTGCCGTGCCACTCAGCTAAATCCTTGGTCCCTGAAATCCTTCTCCTGCTTTTATTTCATTATAGGAATAGTTATAAACCAACTCTTCTCTTTCTGTAAGGAATATAAAATTCACTTCTATATTGTGTTTTAAATACCAAACATGGACCGTCCACAATACAGGTAACAATTCATCATGGGAAATGCCAATATAAATTTAGGCCTCTGGAGCCTTCTCTAAAGCTACTTACCATCTGGTAGACACATAATCAGTGTACGGTGGCTGTGACCTTAATTCTCTTGCAAGTCCAAAATCTGCGATTTTCACAAGGTCTGGCCCCATACAAAGCAAGTTTTCTGGTTTCATGTCCCTGTGAAAAAAGCCTTAGCAAGACAGAAGGGATAATAAATCATCATGATTTAACACAAACCCAATTTATCACCTAAGAAGTGATGAGATATGAACAGCCTGCTTTCAAATGACTGGGCAAGAAAGTTCACTAAGTATGTAAGATAACTACCTGGTCAACTTTATTTTTACTTGTGACTCCGGCAGGTTTGGGTGCAAGGAAAAGTACATTAGGGTCATCTCCATTAATGTACGACCTTTAAGGGGGCTGGAGCCACTGTTACCACCATCCTGTAACAGCTGGGGAGGCTGAGAGGCCCAGAGGAGTAGCCTGAGACTGTTGGCCATTATTTAATTGTACCCACTTGATTGGCAGCCACCCAAGAGACTGGGGGAGCGCACTTCTAGGTGTACCCGGGTAGGCTGTGGATGTGTGGCCTTCAGCCCTATGTCTGGTCTCTCGCCCTTTCCTCTCTGGCACCCTTCACCTGTTCTCCTCAGCCACTGTGGCCTAAGCAGCTTGCTCCGCCATGTCTGTCCGCCATGATGTTCCTGCCTTGGAGCCCCCTGACCATGTTTGGATTCCCTAAAACTGTGAACTAAATTAGTTCTCTCTTTCTTCAAGGTGTAGGTGTTGTGTATTGTGTCCCAGGGAGGGAAAAGCTGACTTATCTCCACCCTAATTAATGTGTGGAAAGTGCTTCCTAGTCAGGCTTACTCTCGGGAGCCATTCTTACTAGGAGTCTGCCACCGTGCAGTTTAATGCAAGATCCCTTGAGTGAAAAGAACGCTGGACAAAAAGGGAAATGTACATATTATAACTGACTTCCTCATTTAAAATCATTTTAACAGCTCAGTTCTTCCTGGTAGCTAAGTCCTTCAGGTAGTTAAGTCTTTGAAACCCTCAATAGTTATAATGCTTATAGTACCCATTCAATATATAAACCGCATGGTTAGATATACGGGCTAATACATGACCCAGAAGAAAATGAAACAGAAAACCTAGGAGAAAGAAAAAAAGGAAAGCCCTTGTAGGATGGGTGGTTGCTAACTTAGCTACAGACTAATGATCAAGCTGCTAAAAAATCCTGCTATAGACGAAGACAGTTATACGTCATAGACATTCTACTGTAAAATAGTATTATACAGTTTTAGACTTTATTTTATTGGTACCGGGGATCAAACTCACAACCACTCACTTGTAAGGCAGGTGCTTATGCCGCTGAGCTAAATCCCCAGCCCCGGGTTTTAGATTTTAAAAAAGCCAATTTAAGTAGACACATACTACAAACCTGTAGTTCTTTAACATAAAGTTATTTAACAGTTGATAAACAATTCATTTGCTTGATCTTGACACTATTCTATAGAGGCAGTGACATAAGGCTTAAAAGAAACCTACCATGCTTATGGATAAATGCCAGCCCTTGCAATATCTGATACATAATGTTTCTGATGACTGACTCTGGGAACAGTTTGTTTCTGGAAGAAATGAATCAACAGTCATGAAATCCTGTCATCCAGCCAGCACAAAGAAGATGGATATTCCCACTCCACTGACGTTGGCACTTCTGTTGGCTTCATGATACTGACAAAAACTATAATTTATAGATTTTTAGTGTTAAGGATTATACACTGCTATTATTAATTATTATTATTATTTTGGTTTTTCTAAGACAGGGTCTCACTATGTAATTCAAGCTGACCTTGAACTCACCATGTAGCCCAGGCTGGCTTTGAACGCAGGAGGATCCTCTTGCCTCAGCCTTCCGAGTATTGGGATTATATACAGGCAAGCACCACCACACCCAGATAAACAGCATCAGTGTCAGATGTGAAAACAGAAGCTTTTGTTTCAATGTATCTTAGAAACTCATATCCAACAGCTAAATCCTAAACTGGCCCAAGAGGAGCAGGGTGAGCTGAAAATGGAATCACTACCAGGAGGAGGCGGGGCAAAGCTGTGTTGTGTGGGCTCGAAGAGTTTTGGTGCATGTGGGCTTCTGTTTTATGCTTCACCATGGTGCAGTCCATGGAATACAGTGAGTCACAAATGAGCGCCGTTCACGTTCTTAATTATTTCAGAATTGATTTTAACAGGCATAAATATATAAAAATCATACATTTTAATGGGTACCCTGTGATTTAGGGGGCAGTGCTAGGAGGACTAAATTCAGGTGTGGAGGGTGCTAGACAAGGGTTTGACCACTGAGCTGCATCCGTAGCCCGGGGATGTTTTAATTCGAGTGTAGACTGTAAAGTTTCAGTGGCCTAAACACAGCTCTCTTCAGACAGTTATCATTTCAGTCTGATGAAAGCATGCAGAATCCTCTAGTCTTCTGAAATCACAGCACATCCTTGTTGGCAGACACCACAGGATGGCGATCAGCACTTCTTATTCAGTCTAAGTTCCCGCTGATCAACCTCTCTTCTTCCTCTCTCGGTTAATTTTAAACAACGTATTTCATTTCAGCCTAACATTTACCAAATAGTATTTCAACATGCAATCAGTATATGGGGGAATTTTCTTTTTTTATACCAAGTTTTGAAAACTTGGTATATAACTGATTTCACATGTACAGCAGCATTCAGTTTAGGCATTTCGGGGACTTGGCAGGCACGGGGGGAGTGGCTGCTGTCAAAGGCAAGGTGGTTTTACACGGAGCACATAAAGTCTCCAGGAGATCCGAACAGGGACGAAAGCAGAGCTGCAAAACACTCGTCTCTGTCAGGCCGCTGGTCACAGTAACTGATGACGCATCTTTGAATTTTAGAGATTTGATCCGCAGATTTAAGCATTCAGGCGAGGGTTTCTTTCACCCGTTCTTTCATGAATGTGTCACAAGGTGATCAGAGGACAGAGATGATAATGTACTCTATTTTGCCTAAGACCAGCTTTACTACTACTGGATTATAGACAGACCTTTGTTTTATTTTAAAAAGTAAAATGGTAGATATGTTTACCTAAAATATTTGTGTCGGCCTTTAAGGAATTATAAGGAAAGTAGTGGCAATGTTATACCTGGGTTTTTCAGTGTTAGATGCTACCATTTAACAAAAATAACAGAACTAATAAAGTCTACCTCTTAAAAGTGATAAAACTATACATCAAATATGATATATTGAAGGGTGCAAGGAACTCATAGAAGCAATATTAGGGGGAAAATATAGTTTTCCTGAGACATACCTGTCTTTCATTAGCTGATAGAGATTTTCTTTCATATACTCAAATATAAAATAAAGATGGTTATTTTCTCTGATAACTTCTTTCAGTTTAATCACGTTGACATGGTTAAGCTTCTTCAGAGACTACAAAATAGCAAAGTGTTAAAATTCTTAAAGCATTTAGAGAAGTTGGCCAAATCATCAAAGCTAGGCATTTAACACTGAAAAACCCAGGTATAACATTGCCACTACTTTCCTTATAATTCCTTAACTTTCAATTTTTTACATTAATGAGTCACATTTTAACAGCTATATAATTTAGAAGCATCTTAGAACACCTATTTACAACAAGTAGTAAATGCTTTACGTAATGAATGTTAAGTATAAACACAAACCCGGCCAGCAGCAGCTAACTAACATTTTAACCTGCCACTTTTATCTCTCAGCCTGTAAAACTGTTCTAATTTTTTTTCTAATTTAACTATGTGAAATTCCATGCAAATGTCTCCAAAAATATATTCAAGTCATACAGCATAAAATATAAGGAAATGGGATAGTCATTTAAAAAGTGGCTTTTCCTTTGATCATATTAGCGTAAAATGCTATTTTAACGCAAAGGTGAAATTCAGATGTGAAGGCACAATTGTTTTTAATTATTGTTAATTCCACTAACCCAGAGCAAGAAGAAATAAGAAATTAGGAAGATAAAGGAAAAACATAAGCACAATTACTGATGGAATGCTTCCCCGGGAGGAGAATGGGGTCCTTGACTCTTCTCCTCTCTAGGACTTACCTTAACTTCTCTCAGGTTCATGCATTCATCCCAAGAGTAGAACTTCCTCTTCATTCTGAAATAAATCATACATAAGGAAGCGTTTAGCACATGGGGCCGAGGACTCCAGCACACAAAGGACAGCACTGGCTACACTGTACTGTTCACTTTGTCATTGCCGAGGCTTAGGGACATTATTTGCTCCCTTTAGGCAAATTATGGTTCTTCTCTTTCTTGCGCCTTGACGTGAAATCCCCTCTGCCTACATCTTCCTTTCTGGGGGAGGCCGTATCATTCTAATCAATTTAATCATGCTGCTTTAAGTGGGCCCCTTCCACGTTCTCTCTCCTTCTGGAACATATAGAGCACACAGGAAACACTACAGTTTGGAGGGGCGTGGGGGAGAATCACAAATTTTGATAGCAAATTTAGTCAACGATTTCCTTGATCTCACACCTTATATATCATTACTTCAGCTTCATTCAGGAGGAGAGCGCGTAACGTTAAATGATTTGCCAACAAAATACCGGAGGTGACCACGCTTTAGAAATATCCACCCTCTCCTCTCCCTTCCCCCTTCCCTCCCAGTATCCCTTCCTTGTTTAGGATGCTGGGACTGAACCCTCAGCCCTTCTTGAATTCTGTTGTCTACTTCTCTCCCACCTCAGTGTTGGTTACCATTAAAGATACACACACCAGAAGGGTATTTAGGGTAATAAAGCAATCCCCTCCCCACACCACAGACAGGGGTCATGTTTTTACATGCAGGGATTTTCAGTCACTCTACGAAATAGGAGACAAGCAAAACACAACAGGATTCATGGGCTAAAAAGGTTCTTCAGGTATGGGATTACAAGGCTGGATTATGAAGAATAAAAGCCAAATATATTCTACTGCTTTCTTGTCGTACTATAATTTCCTACTGAGATGTCCCAGCAGATTCTCAGGAAGCCTAGTGACTTGATTAACTGCAGCGATGCTGCTAACCCAGAGCCTCCCAGGTAACACACGGAAGGGAGGAATTACGCACCCAACGCACAGCATGAAGGTTTAGGTGGGCGGGGGCACTGCATGACCCCCGAAGCAGATCCTTGCTCATGGCTGCATGACATTGGCCAAATTATTCAAGGGCCTCCCTGGGCCTCACAAGCTTTAACCAGAAAGCAGAAACTACTGAGCAAGAGGAGCTATTGTAAACTGCTTAGTTTGGTAATTAGTAAGTACTGGACATTCATTTAAAAAAAAAAAATTATCTACCGTCAACTATCAGACATGAAGGGCATCATTGTTACCACTTCTAAAATATTTCCTCTATAAGCATTCAGGTACCAGAAACTTACAAAGAAACGTGAGGAAACTGGGTTTATCTGACAATGCTTTTCAGTGCTGTGGATTAAAATGTCTTGCTATCATGCAAAAGAGTTCCATTCCCAGTACCAAAAAAGCATACCAATGAATATAAAATAAAAATCAATTCAAATATACCTATAAAAAGTTTAGTAAAATGATCACATCCATCCCAAATTGCACATATAATCTGCTATGATTCATAAAAAGTCATTCAGAATTTTAAAAATCACCAATCTTTTAGAAGCCAAATACAATATATTCAGGTAAGTTTTTGTAATTCAGTAATAACTGAAACTTTGATTCCACTTTTTTGGTTTTTTTTGGTACCAGGGATTGAACTCACAACCTTGTGCTTGCCCAGGCAGGTGCTTATGCTGCTGAGCTAAATCCCCGGCCCTAATTCTACTTTTAAAACCTGTATTCTCTTCATCCATGTTTCCTCATCCATTACTTCTTCTTCCAGAAATGTCTACTCCTCCCTGAGGCAACACATGTATCTATCACCACATAGACGTCGCCTTGCACAATAATTACCCCAAAGACAATCCAGGGTTTTAGAACAGGCAAGACAAAGCATCTCCTTTGGGTCTCCTGCCATCTTTTTTCCATTTATTCATTCATCCAACATCTGCTAAGTACCAGAAAAAGGGACAGATCAGAAATGGTTACTACGCTATTTCCCATCTAACAGAGGCAACAGACTTCAGTTATTGCAAAAAAAAAAAAAAAAAAGAAGGAGTTAGTTTTAAGGGCTATGAGCAGGGACAGAAGTGGGCTCTTTTAATGGCCTGGCCTTTTGATAAGGTAATACTTCAGTGAGACCACAAACACAGAAAAAGAAGTTTCAGGCAGACAGGAATAGCTGGGAAGCGCTGACTGAGTAGAGGAAATAAAAGGCCATTTCGGGTCAATCCTTGGTTCTTTAACTATTTGCATGGCTCTTCCCCAGTGCTCCCAGTGGGAGAATGACAGCACCAGAACATTCCTGCTCTTCTCCACCTCACCCACCCCCTACTTTCTCTGTGGTAGCTCATTAGGCTTCGTTTCTCTCTCCCAGCCCCAGAAATAAGAGGCTAGCGTGAGACTCCCCATTCACCCAGAGGCATATGCAGCATGCAATAGGTGCCCAATAAGTATCTGTTGAATGACTGGATGAATATTGGTGACAAGTGGGCTGACTGAGGCCACCAGCTCCTCCACACAACTTGTGATCTTCCTGCCTCGACCTCCCAGGATGCTGTGAATCAGTCTCCCTTGGTGAGTTTTAGCTTTCATAATCCATGGCAGGGAAACACGGTACTCTTCCAAGTTACCTGAAGCGAGGCTGGTGGCATAGCTCAGTGGTAGAGTGCTTGCCTGGCACGCATAAGCCCTGGTTCAATCCCCAACACCCTCCCAACACCCCAAAAGACACATAAACTCTAAAGCAAACTAACATCCTCACACCTACTATGTCAGGACTTTATATACATTATTCTATCTAGTGCTCAAAATAACTCAGGGCTATAAAATTCCTTCTATTCCCGCAGCAAAGACTGGCTACTTCCAGACTCTTGACCCGCAATGAACAGCCATTCAAGGGTCATTTGTGCTCGGAAGTCAAAATCAACGTTGAAAACAGAATGGAGAGAAATCTGCATGGAGACGAATGAGGTTTGGTCCAATTAATAATCGCACCGAAGTCCCCCAGTGAATGCTAGAGTGATGATCAGAATCCTCTTTAACCATGAAGCCGGTGCTGCAGATATTCCTCTGTGCTTATAAACACTACATGAGCAACTTTCAGCTCCACAAATATATGGCAAGGTACCAACAGAGACAGACTGTTAGAAAACAAACAAAATGAAAGAGAAGAATCACTGGTATTCCCGAAGAACACCCAGGCAGTAGGACAACCAGGAAAGTAATCACAAAGTAACATCAGGAGCTGGGACTGGTGGCCCACATCTACAATTCCCAGATCTGAGAGGCTGAGGCAGAAGAATCCCAAGTTTGAGGCCAGCATGGGCTATGTAACATTTTCCTCAAAGTAAGAACAGATCTTGCATTAATTTCTGCTCCAAAAGATGCAATACAGCTTATTTTCAGGGGGTGTCTTGTTTTTCACATACAACAATCTATATTTACCCACCTACAACAATCTACATTTGTACATGCACAGAGATCTACAGTCATGTCATCTTCTGGGACATCACCACAGCCCTCCAAACCCTGAATTCCAGTTATGTGAGGTTTTTCTTTTTCTTTGTTCTTTCCTCTTTTTGAGACAAGGTCTCACTACGCAGTTTAAGCTGACTTTGAACTCACTCTGTAGCCCAGGCTGGCTTTGAACTTGCAGCAATCCTCCTGCCTCAGCCTCCCAAGTGCTGGGACTATAGGTGTGCACCACCATATCCAGCAAACTCCAAATTCCAACCTGATCTTTTTGCAACTCTCATTTCCTGTAGAATCTTTGTCTTCAATCTCTCACGTCCTGCAGCAGAGCTCTCTAAATGCCTCTTTGTGCATGCAGCTCGCTCACAGCACACTGGTAGCCCAGCTGTCAGTGATTTTTACCCCAGGAATTCTTCATCCACATCACGGCCTCCTGCAGGCTGGGCTTCAACACGTCTCCACGCTGATTTCCCTCCATTCTGTAATGTCGGCACTGATCTCTACACGCACAGGTCCTTGAGCGGCTGTTCACTGCAGTATCCAGAGTCTGGAGTCAGGCACTCACTGCTGCGGAATCTCTATCCATTCTGTCCTTTTCTCTACAAGCAAGTTCTTCTGTCTCTAGTGCGTTGAGTGCTGGCTGATTCCCAGACACGTGGACCTCTTTGGCCACCTGGCCAAACAGGCAGTGGTCAATCAAGCCACTTCCTCATTCCTGCTTGGTGCCAAGGGCCCTTTTGTTTCCAAGAACAGAAAAGCCTGCAACACATTCAGTCTCGTCCTTTTGTGCCCTTAATGATGATTAAAGGTGGGGCTTTCTTCCCAGCCACAGGAAATACAGACAACACATGCACTTCCGTCCCCGTCGGGGGAACTCAGATCACTGTCGCTGGAGATCCCTGGCTCATGGACACTGCGGCTTCACCCCAGGGAATCAGGCTGGCGAGCTGGTATTTAGGGAAGTCCAGGCCAGCCACAAAGGCCTTGAACGCAGGTGCATATTTAACAACTCCAGTGTCTTCCCGCTTGAACAGTGCAGTTGATCTCAGAGACAGATCAACTGGTACCGCTGGAGGAAGCCGCCCAACCAGTGCCAGGAGGCTCTGAAGTCATCTGGGGAGATTTCTAACTGGGGCACTATGGCCAGGGCGAGCCTTGACCATCAGCCCCGTGAACAGCCAGTGCCTTTGCATCCAGTCTACAATCCACCCGCAGAGGACGTCTTCCAGCCCACACTTGCACTTCTCAGTGGCCCCTTGTCTACCTGCTGACCGAGGTTAGTCCTCTGAGAGCCACTTCCCGGCCATCCATAGATTCAAGCTTATCCATAGATTCAAGCTTATCTCTGCAGAAAGCCCGAAGGCTCCAGCTCTGCCAGTCCTCCAGGACACCCCTCTTTTACTCCAAGGTCTCGGCCCTTTCTTTCTGCACCATCGTGTCTCGTGCCTTCAGGGCTGTGGGTCTGGTGGTCATGTCTGGTTCTGGAGGATTCTGAACAGCTCTGGGTACCCCCGCCACCACTTGTGCTCATCTCCTGAAGCACAGTCACTGTCCCTGCTGCCAAGGTGTCAGGCTCGAGGTCCCAGGCTGGCCGGATGGGCCTACGGCTGGTACTGCCTGTGACTTCCTCCCCCAGCCCGAGTCCCTAGCCAGTTTTGGCTGCATTTCTAGGCACAAAAGCTTTTCTTGTTAAGTAGTCATGGGACACTGAACGTGGAGAGGACCTGGGATAACTGTGCCACTGGGGAGTCCATTCCTGTGTGGTCACCTTGGGGTTCACACGCACAGCCCTAGGAGGCAGAGCCTGCTGCACACCTGGGGTGCGTGGTACCTGCTGTCACATGCGTGGTCTGTCATTGACCAAGACGTTATGGGTGCCAGACCGTGCAGACCTCTCTCCTGTGTTCACAGTCTCACATTCTGCTGGCCCCACCCCATCTACCATCTGCCACTGGCCTGGCCACAGCCTTGTTCCTCCTGGGCCATGCTGGGCCAGCACTCAGCCCCCTCCTCTCTCCTCCCCATCATCGCCTTTCTGAGCCGAGCCGTCTCACCCTCCAGCCATGCCCTTCCCGCCCACCCCAGGTACCACACTCCCTGGTCTTCTGCTTAAGGTTTTGGAATGAAAAGCGTTTAAATAACCCACTTCCTTCCAGGGGACGCGTCTACTCCCACCTGGAAGACCAAGGACACAGAGCTCTTCTCCATCAGCTTGGCAGCATGTGTGACAGTCTCAGCCTCAAACTGGCGGCAATCCTCTTGCCTCAGCCTCCTGAGGCTGGGGTTATAGGGGTGCACCACCACACCGGCTTTCAACATGGAATTCATTTGTAATTTTTTTTTTGAGACAGGGTCTTGCTATGCAGTTCAGACTGGCCTTGAGCTCACTTTGTAGCCCAGGCTGGTCTCAAACTCACAACGATCCTCCTGCCTCAGCCTCTGAGTGCTGGGATTACAGGCATGAGCCACCACGCCTGGCTCATTTGTAATTTTTTGCGGAGGAAACGTGTGGATGTATTTGAAGTGTCACACAATGCGCTCTGACTAGAACACTTACGCCCTAAATGGGCCCTGCGGACGTCGCCATACCACCAGGCATTAAGATGCGAGATGAGTGGATAGCGTGAGATGCTGAGTTGTTCTGGTAACAAACAGGGAGCCACTGAAAATGGAAAGTGAGGCCCCGCACACCTGCGTCATTCTCAGGTTGATTCCTGTTTGACCTTGTAGGTGAGTGACATGCAAGGTGTCAGCCCGGGAATGACCCTCCCTCTCACCGAGCGCCTCGAGGTGTTAACGGTCAGAAGAAGGGACATTTCCACGGTTAGTCCTGCCCGCAGCCTGGCTCCACAGCTCAACCCCCAGATGCCCCTTTCTGTCCGAGGCATCCTGGTCCCTCAGAAACACTTTCTTCCTGGCTGCTCTGCACCGCGCCCTTCAGCCTTTAAGGTCTCCGAGACTCTGTAGCCACGATTCTTTCATCTCCTGCTGGCTCTGGGTCAGCTCTGCTGCTGAAACAGTGCTCTCTTCGGCCGCTGGCTATGTCAGAGTTCAAGGCATCTATGGCAGATGATATCATTTGGATACCAAAAGGGCACTTTCAGCCCCTGACCTCAGAGGCCGAGGCATTTGGAAGCTGCAGAAACCTCATCCACTCACATCCGCCCACAGTGCGGCTTCCCTGCACCAGGCCCCGGCACCTCTGCCATGGAGGACGGTGCCAACCTTCCAAACCGGCCACCTTTGTCCAAGCCTGACCTCCTGCTCAAGGGCTGATTCCAAACTCACACTGCATAGAGCACTTCTGCTTAGGTGGCTTTATCACCTTCCGTCCTGAGATGCACAGACTCTGCCCCTGGCTTCAGGACCTCATACGTTAGCCTTTGACCTGCCAGATCCCTGATCTGCAGGCTCTTCCAGGGCTGAATGCAGCACCTTTGCATGAGCTACGTCCACAGCCCTCTTTTATTTTTTATTTTGAGACAGCGTCTCAGTGAGTTGATAAATTGCCCAAATGGGGCTGGAACTTGGGATCCTCCTGCCTCCTCTTTTTAAAAGCAATCTGTCCCCATTCTTGAAGACTCATGTTCCCCAGTGCGTTTTATTTTGAGACAGGGCTAGGGAATATGCAATGCAAGGGCCCTGAGCTCAAACCACAGGACCAAAAAAAAAAAAAAAAAAAAAAAAGTCAGCTATAACACAGACACAGAGAGCCAACAAGGACACATGGAAAATACCACCTGCAAGCCAAGGTCAGATCAGAAGAAACCAACCCAGCTACTTGAACTCAGGCTTCCAGAGCTGTGAGCAAGAGATTCCTGCTGCTTGACCACCCCATCTGTGGTGCTGCCCTAGAAAACCAACATCACGAGCCTCTGGGAGTGGACCCTCCAGCCCGGGCCCAGCCTTGGATGGCCGGTGACTGCTGGCGTCCAGTGCCACCTCCTGAGAGTGCCCAGGCCAACACTGCCCAGTGAGTCACTTCTCAATTCCTGACTCCCAGGCCCTGTGAATTACTAAATGCTTGTTATTTTAAATTGCTAAATTCTGAGGGCTGTTTTGTTACATAGCAACAAATGAGCACAATAGGTTAGAAAGCAACAATTAGCTAACAAGAAAGGAAAGACCAAGAAATACTATGTGCCATTGAGAACTCCATTCTGATGTGATAAATACAATCTTATTTTGGAAGCTTTATTTATTTTCACTATAGTGAGCGCTGAATGCAGGGGCTCCCTGCTGGGCTACATTCCCAGCCATTTTTCACTTTTTGTTTTGAGACAGGGTCTCAGTAAGTTTAGATTTTCCAGCCTGGGCTCAAACTTGGTACCTTCCTGCCTCAGCCTCCCAGAGTGCTAGGATTGTAGGAGTGCACTGCCACACTAGATTCGAGGCCTGCAATTTGAAAGAAATGATAAACTACTCTGTACTCAACTTGCAATTTGCAAAACATTCATGACCTACAGTTTCAGTCTAAATGCATTAAGTATAAAAAGTATAAAAAGAGGTGCTCTTAAAATTTTGGGTTTATTAATGTATCTGGACAAAGCCAAAAAATTAAGAAACAGACATAAAGGTGAGAAGAATATTCCTGCTTGGTACTTTCCTTCCTCCTGTTTGTCAGACTAGCATGGATTATGCACCAGACTCCTCTCTGTGTGCGGGTATATTCTAAGTGTGCGAGGGACACGCTGCGGGGACACCCACGCCAGGGTGGCACGGACTCTCCGCGGTGACGCTCACGCACCTCTTGATGGCCACCAGCTCCCCGGACTCGTTACTCTTGCCCATCAGCACGCTCCCATAGGTGCCATCCCCCAGCTGCCGCATGGTTGTGTAGCGGTTCATCTCGGAAAGCCAGGCAGTGTCACGGGCTGTGGCCGGAATGCCTTCCTCGCGGAGCCGAAACGCAAACACTTCTTTTTCTCTTGCTCTTGTCCTCGCTGTGCTGTGGCTATGCCGGTGACAGGTCTGTCATCATCAAGTAGGGGCTCATGGCATTCAGCAGCCAGAAGTCTGGCAACGAAACACCATTTCCATCCTTACGAACACGCTGTGAGAAGGAAACCACAAACCATGAGCTTTCACGAAGGACTCTCTGAAAAACATTCCCCGGCAAACCAACAGCACAGAGAAAAATGAGATGTAGTATAAATATTCCCGTTCGCCCCTCCTCTAAGCCATGTGGACTGAAGTCACCTGTCACATACTGACGATATTAATGCAATGACGGTTTCACTACTTATCCCATGATTGTCCAATATGACTGATTTGTAGGATCTTTTGGGGGGAGGGGCACAACCTACATTATTCCAAATAAGATCTTGGAAAAATCTGGCAGTTAAACTATCAGATTCTTTAGCTGGGCTTGCTGGTGTACACCTGTCATCCCAGAACTCTGGGAGACTGAGGCAGGAAGATCGTAAGTTTGAGCCCAGCATGGGCAACTTATGAGACCCTGTCTCAAAAACTTAAAAAAACATTTCTTAAAAAGGGCTGGGATGTAGCTCAGTGTGCAGGTCTTAGGTCCAGTCCCCAGTCCCCCATCTCAGACAACTGTATCTATTCCTTAAACAATTTTTCATCACATTTAGCTGAGAGTATTAAATTTAAAAAGGCCAAGTAGTATATAACTATACCAATTAAGTACGGTACATAAGGTAAACTTGTTTTATATGAAGAGAACAGCATTACCAAACAATTTCATACTCTGTTTAAATAACATGCTATTGTATTTGACATTAAACTAAGAAAAAACAACTACTGGTTAGAAGTTAGTATCATACTTGACTATGAATACACAGAAATGAAAAATTTAAAACTGTTGCCACAGATATGTACATATATTTATACCTAGGCCTAATGGAGCATATACAGGGTTACTTTTGAAGGAGTTCAAGAGACAAATTTGAACAATTTGGAAAGGCTGCGTCTCACTGAATCATTCGGTCCAGATTAGGAAAACGAAGCCTAAGGTCTGAATCTTGGTGCAACTTCAAACTCTGCATCACGGGCAAAGCTTTCCATTGTACCTCAAAGTCCATAACGTAAAATGCAGGCAGTGCAGCTCTAAAACCCCAGAAGGCTATGAATATGTCTTCTAGTCAGTGAACCTGTCTCTCTTATTCAGAGCAATTTTGCAATTACTACATTAAGGAAGACAACAAGGGACACAGAAATATACTGTCTTATACTAGAAAGCGAAGCAAAATCACCAGTTACAATGAAATGAAAGTTTAGTAAAACTGCTCTTTTCTTACCAATTCTGAGCTACCCTCAGCCCCAGTGACACACGTATGGGCGGCAGGCACTAAGATGTCAGGGCCAGGTAAATGGCATCGTGACAGGTCCTGCATCTGGCTGGTGGCGGGTCCACTTGGCCATGGATGGGGCTACCCCTTGGGCTCTTTCTTGAGAAGCCATTACACAGCGGACCAAAAGGGAAACCTCAGCGGAAATTCCTGGTGACTTCTGAGCTCAATAAAACCCCAAGAAGCTTATAGGAAGGGAGCCCAAGTATATGCAATGGCGTAGTCTTCCAAGTATTCTGAATCCAAGTCACAGAAACAAAGCTTCTAAGATCCCTGTAAATCATTAAGCTCAAACTCTTTTTTTTTTTTTTTTTTTTTTTTTTTTGTCTTTTCCTTTTTATTGGTACCGGGGATCGAACTCACAACTGCCTGCTTGCAAAGCAGGCACTTTTGCCGCTGAGCTAAATCCCCAGCCCCCAGCTCAAACTCTTTTGATGGCAAATATTTTCCTCTAAATTCTGGCTCACTTTCATTAAAACTGATGAAAATGTGCTTTTAAACAAATAAGGGAACAAATGTAGGGTAGTGCCTGTCTTCAGTTATTTTGCCATTGAGGTGATGTGGGTGGGACACCTGGTAGAGAGGAGGTGTTCACACGGCTCACCCCCTGCTTGCCCATGTGACTTGCTCTGGCCAATGAAACGTGAGCAGATCCCCAGCTAAGCAGACCCTTAAAGAGGTATCCCCAGATTGGCGCTGGCTCCTCTTCCTGCAGCCAGGAGCCTGGCATGTCCCAGAGCAGGCTGTCTTCAGCCTGGGTCCCGGGGATGAAGACATTATGGAGAACAGACATGGCACCGCCACCAACCGCAGCGGAAAGGGCACGGGAGTGAGAAATAAAGCTTTGTGCTAGCCTCATTTCCTATCAGAGCAGTAGTGATTCATAAACATACGGGTCACAGTTGCCCTTTAACTGTAAAAGGATGGTAACATTAATACATGAGCTACTATACCGCTGGCTGTGGGCACGTTCCTTCACAGAGGCCCACATAACTGATTTCCCTCATGATGACAGAGGATACATGCGTGAGAGAGGACAGCGCAGCAATCGTGTAAGAACTTTAAAACGGTGGTGAGTACCTATTATCCTTTACACAGTAGATGAGAAATCCTTTAGGCTCCCTGTAGTTCTGATTTTTCAGTCACCCCATTACATAGTAGGTGATCGTTCTCTGGAATACTCTCTTGTAAATCAGTCAGCAGCTCTGAATTGCAGAGGGCGGTTAATGCTAACTGGCTTGTCCAAAGCCACAGCAGAGGTAGATACAAGAGCCAAGTCAGGCCGGTTTAGCCACAGCTCCTCCCATTAACATGTGCTGCCTGTCTGAATCTAATTCATTTGCTGAAGTCCTGACTCCAGATGGCTATGGGGAGGAGGGTCCGCTAGAAAGCGATCAAGTCGTGATCCTCAAGGATGGAATTACGCAAGACTTTGGTCATTCTGGGAAATGGAAAGCAGAATCTACTGGCACTGGGGTCTTGGGACACCCCAGCCTCCAGAGCTGTGAGAAATACAGTTCTGTGGTTGATGTCACCAATCTACAGTACCCTGTCATGGCAGCCGGCACTGACTAAGACACTGTCAAGGAGTCTGGGCTGACTTAGAATCGGACTCTCACGGGGCAGCAAAAAGTATTGATCAAGGCCAAGACAGACAGAGACACAAAGCCTTCAAGAGAAGATCACATACAACAGTCTAACAGCATCACAGTTACTCTAACGCAGACACAGGTTTCAACAAATACCAGTATTCCACGAACATTTCTGTATTTGTGCTCTGAACTTTGCATTTAGTGGGAATTAATCAAATCGCACAAGTGGAGACACTAATTAATGATTTGTGAGCTAACATCAGCCCTAATAGCAGCAGAGTTTATGCTACATTGTTTGTTGCTTTGAAAACCATTCTTTCCTAATGTTTAGTCCTTTTAACTGAATTTTTAAAAACCTTTTACATGGGGATCATTTCAAGCTTACAGATAAGTTGTAAAAAAAGGACCAGAGAACACATGACCTAGATTTACACATTATGGATGTTTCACCCCATTTTATCATTTGAGTACACTGTACACACACATGCTGTGTGCATGCATACACATACACACGGTGCACACACACATGCACGCATGCCTTTTCTGAAACACTGAGTTTAACATACACATCACAGCTCTTTCCCTCTATTGAAGATGAATACAACACTTCAATGAACTGCTCCTACCTCTGTCTCTGGGTTCACTCATGCCCTTTTTAGTGCTTTCTCCCTCCAGTATAGGACCTGGGTTAGGATCAATTAATTGTGTTTGGTTATCACATAGCTGTGGAGTTTTCAAGCATACAACCAGCTATAAATTTAAAGTGGCACATAAAGCAATGCCACGCTCAATATGGTTGGCACTTACACTTGATTTTTTATGACTAATAAAACTTTACTTTTAAATGTTATTTGACAAGGAAATAAATACAGAAGGTGAATTACCTCAAGTCACAATAAAAATGATTCCCCTTCCAGAAGGATCTGGAAAGTGCACCAGCAAGTAGTTCAGTGGGCAGCGCTCAGCAGATTTAAAGCTGATTACATCCTAGCTTCCTCTCCTGTTTGTATCCTGCCACTGGGGACAGCTATTGCTTACTCAAGCAGGAAAGAATACTGATCATGATACAGGCTGAATATCCCCCATTTGAAAGTCTTGAGACCAGAAGAATTTCAGATTTTTAATGTTTTGAATTTTAGACCATTTGCATATTCATAATGAAATATCTTTGGAAGGAATTTGCATCAAAACATGAAATTCATTTATGATTCATACCCAATAGACCTGAAGATACTTTCATGCTATATATTAATGCATCTGTGTTTTGATCACAACCTGTGGTCAGGTGTGGAATTTTCCTCTTGGGTTAAGTCGCTGCTCACACAGTTTCAGCTTTTGGAGCATTTTGGATTTCAGAGTTTTGGATTAGTGATGCTCAGCCTGTATTTATTAGCAGTCAAAGAACAGTACTGACAAAATCTAGTAGAGATTTAGAAACCTTTATGTGAAACTCTTGTGCCAGATGTGTCTTGGAATCTAGACACTTCCATAGTTTAGAAAACTAATATGTTACGTATGCTACCTGCTACATACCATGCCCAGCAGCATCTTTATGTACCTGCAGAAAAAAGTCTGCTAAATAAAACAGAGCCAGACTATCAATTACCTCACACCAGCCAGATCCTGTTTTGTTGCAAATGACTTTATGCAATTTTTTTTTAAATTTTTTTGGTACCAGGGATTAAACTCACAACCTCATGCTTGCCAGGCAGGCGCTTATTCCACTAAGCTAAACCCCCAGTCCTGCAGTTTTATTTTTAAACATTCATTTTCTTTTCAGAGCTTTCTGGATTTCAAACCTGAGGACATGGGTCTGTATGGCGGGGAAGGCACGGGAAGGCTCAGTTTCAATAGGTCCAGGTGGTACGACCTCTCTAACACAGGTGCGCGGTAGCCTCACATCACGGCCACCAAGTCCAGCGGTTGCCTCCCACTGTTTCAGTTCTGCTTTTCAATGAACTGCTTCTCGGTGCACGTCTCTGCACCTTTCTGTTTTGGTTGAGAAATCTCTCATTTTGTCACAAGGCTTTGTGCTTAATTGCAAATGCTTGGTGGTGAAATGTACAACACCATTGTAAGAAATAGTTTGTTTTTAAAAATGCCTTTTATAATTCAGTTCTTCATTCAAAGATTGTTTTTGTCTCACAGTAGCACTTTCATTTCCACAAAATAAAACCATAGAAATTGCTTCTCTAGTCTACATAGGACTCTAGACCCAATAAAGATGTGTCAAAGTACCCAAAGTTTCCCAAACCAGGCATCCTGGAGAAAGACACACATCTGCAGTGCTGGCCAGCAAAACCGTGCAGTTTCCTGTTTTCAGGAATGTGTCTGCTCACAGGAAACTTCAGAAGAGTCCTATGCAGTCTTCAGACAAGGGGGAGTGTGTGTTAACTTCAGCCTCATTTTATTTCTCACAGATGATCATTCCCTTCAGAGGCACATGAGAAATACGGCTATGATCTTGGAGAAAAGGACCAGAAAACTGCATTTCTATTTTAGGGTTTCTTTATTGTTCTGGGCGTAAGCCTAAACTAAAGGGCTAACAAATACCACCAAATGCTTTCCAGTTTGTTTGTTAAAAAAAAGTAGCTTTGGTATATGATCTGTGTGTTATAAATAGATACTGACTCAAAATACTCAGAAATCACTGTAGAGAAAGGCACTGTCTCCATATATGGTTCCAAACTACATTATAAATTTGTTTTTCTTATTTTTTCCTTTGTCTGTATACGCAAGTATAATTTTGAAAGGTCTTTTGGCTGGGCGTGGCGATAAATGCCTGTCATCCCAGTACTTGGGAGGCTGGGGGGGGGGGGGGATTGCCACCTTGGGCCTCAAACTCTTGGCACCCTATGTCAAAAAAACAGAAAGGAAGGAAGGGAGAAAGAGAGGAAGGGAGGGAAGAAGGAAGCAAGCAAGCAAGAAAGATCTTTTGGGATGTTTGTTTTTGCATGATGTTCTCTGATTTAACAACCCATGGCCTAGTATGTTTCTTATCATTTAGGAGTTTAGTAAGTTAGGATTTTGCAACTTATTGCCTGCTCATTAGATTGCTGCCTGTTCTTCTCCAGCCACTCCAGTTAAGGTTACAGCTACCTGACTCTTGAGGAAATGCGCCCTCTCTAGGTTTCCTGATTCTTTCCAGTTAAGTAACAATATAGAAAGTATGTTGGTGCAAAGGCTCTCACTTTCCTCATGTCAGTGAGATCATAAAATAACACCCCGAAAGGATTAAGTGACCCGCCCACAATCCATCTGCAAGTCAGTGGAAGTATCTGAAGTGAATTAAGTACTTGCTTTAGGCTCAAAGCTGGCTGGCTGGTTAGTGTGGTCTCCGGTTGTAAACAATGCGTTGTTATGATCCGTGGCAGCTTTCAGTCACTAGTGTAGACTCAGATTTCTCTCCCATTCCTCTCCCCAGAACAGCAGCACACTGCCGGCTACCAGGCAGGTGCAGGAGGCATTGCTCTGGCCCCTCAAACCTGGACTGCATCTGCGCCCACCAGATACCAGAAAAGAAAATTCCCAGAAATGAAGGGAAGACATGAGACATTAGGCTTGCAAAGTTAAAGGAGAAGAACTTTATGTGAAGCTCCCTCTTAAAAACATTGCATTCAGAATGACAAGGTTCAGTGATCTGGGCATGGTGGTGCAGGCCTGCACTCCCAGCACGCGGGAGGCTGAGACAGGCCTGTGAGTTTGAGGCTGGCCTGGGCTACATAGTGAATTCAAGGCCAGCTTAGAATACACAGTGAGACCTTGTCTAAAACTAAATAAATAAATGAAGTGATTCAGTAACATCATCACCTCTTTTCTCCCAACTAAATTATTTTCATGGTAACTTCTAACCAAAGAAGATAAGATGGGAGGATTAAGAGAGGCACAAAGAAAGGCAGACCCAAACTGCAGCGGGAGCTGCCCTCTGGGACACAGCTGGATGGAAATGAGGGTCACCCAGGAGTGGGGGACAGAAAAGCAGAAGAGGGTGCAGACTCCGTAGGCAAAATCCACAGAATGCATTGCCTTTCTCTCCCCCACTGCTGAACCCACCTGAAGGTCCCCACCATCACTGCACCTCCACACGGGAGGGTGACCCGGCATCCACAGCAGTTCTGTGCGCACAGCAAGTCGTTCTGGTCTTGGTAACTCTCTGCACTGCCCTGGAAGCCCAACCAGGTCTGGGGAGGCTGCCGTGGAAAACTCACGTGAGGCCTAACTAAGCAACTCCAAATAACACTGGAAACACAAATTTTATTTCCACCAAGGATAATTACAGAATAGGGTGTAACTGTATTGGATTTAGGGAAGAAGGAACAAAGACCACAACCATTTCCCAGCTTGTTTCTGTACGAGGGGTGGAGTGGTGAATGTCAAGGATTTGACACTGATTTTTTTTTTTTTTTGTCTTTTTTATTTTTATCGGTACTGGGGATCGAACTCACGACTGCCTGCTTGCAAGGCAGGTGCTTATGCCGCTGAGCTAAATTCCCAGTCCCGACCCTGATTTTTAAGAAGGTCAAGTTTGTGGCTCTGTGAGAATCTGTCCAGTTGACCTAAACTTTCTGTGAAATAAATTTTTATACTACCCTGTCAAACATTTTAGCTGGGCATGGTGGCGTGTGACTGTAATCCCAGCACTTGGGAGGCTGAAGCAAGCAGACCGCTGTGAGTTTGAGGTCATTCCATGAGTTACAACAGTGAAACCCTGTCTCAAACAACAACAAAATCAAACACTTTCTAAAGGCTTCTTTTGAGTCATGTTAATTATAAAATAAGACTTCAGGGTGAGAAGTTGATTATTCTGTCCCTTTAAATCTATCCAGCCTTTAAAAACATAGGGACAACCGTTTAACATGGAAAGGCTTGGGTAGGAGGCAGTTTCTCTTTTAATCAGTATTTCCATGTGCCTTTTCACAGGCTGCACATAAACTGCCTTTATCTGTGATGTTCAGCAAGGTCCTAAGCTGATTACTACTCACAAATCAGCACAAGTAACTTAAAAAATAGAGCCTGCCAATGAGTCTCCCTCACACACAGAAACCCTTCTCTATTGGTTACATCTATTAGTTCATCTTTGATGACATATGGAAAATTAACTCTGCAAAACAGAGATGCATCAGGGTGCCTTCTTACGTACATGAATATGTGATATCCACGCATCAAAAACCCAAGTAAATGTAACATAACTGTGCTCCTTAATTAACATAACAGAACTGCTGGGAACTCAAAATTACCTACAATCAAGCTACAGCGTTTACTGACTTTCCTTTGGGTTGAACGAATGTTTTATGCCAATTTGAAAGACTTTAGAGTATCAATTATAGAACTTCACTAAATAAATCCCCTTTATAACATCTCATTCTAGTTTATTTTTATCTAAGAGTACAGTTACTGTGGAAATGCGTAATTACGGTAAATTTGGGCTATCTTCACAGCAGCTTTGACCAGCTAATAAGGGATTTGGCTGAGATTACAGGAGATTAGTCTGGAGGGCATCTGGAGGGTCGAATTTGTGTCAGCCAATCCCAGAATGGATAAGGGTTGGATGGTTTCAACTTCTTAGAACATTCTAGGATGATATGGCTCCAAAGCTAGCGTGGATGTTTATAAAACAGAACTATAATCAATGTTTTAAAAACTACTATATTGGTTAAAAAGCAAAACAGAAAACAGATTTCCAACTAAACACGAGGGTATTTCCAGAAATATGAACAGGTGTTATTATAACAGGAAAAGAACTATTCTGCCTTAAATAAAAACACGGTGCTCTGTGCTAACATTTATGAAGTAGTTAGAACAAAATTAAAGAACGCTGGGAGACTGAGGCAGGAGGATCTCGAGTTCAAGTCCAGCCTGGGCAACTTCACAACCTAGCCAGACCTTGTCTCAAAACAAAAAATTAAAAAAGGGCTTGAGATGCAGCTCAGTGCAAAGGCCTGGTGTTCAATTCTCATTGTAGGGGAAGGGGTGTGGGGAAACTCATTTAAAGAAATGCATCCATCAAAGGAAAATGCAGGCTTTCACCCAGGGCCCACCCTGCCTAGGCAGTAGGTGGCCGTTTGCAGAATAGTTTATTCCCACCTCATCACTGCCCCAAGTTCCCTCAAAGTAATTCGGCTCCGCAACGCTTTGGACCCCATGGATTGTTTTTCTGATTAAAATGACTACAACTTTCAGTTTCCTCTTCGTTACCATTAGAACTGTACGTGCATTTTAAAAGATTAAGCACGATCTTAAAAGCATCAGAACGTGTCTGGTTGTTCCGCAGGACCAACCCTGGACCTGTCCCTGGATTACAGAGCCCGTCAGCAGTACATGAACAGCTCCTGCCACGCGCACTCCGATCCTTCTCTGCAAACCAGGCCCCTCTGGGGCCGAAGTCACGCAGGTTTCCAGGCACGGGGCAGCCCGGAGCCCTGCGTGACTGGCCGCCGCGGGTGGGCCATCCCAGGACCCCCGGACCTCCTGGGACAGGATTCCACTTTCACCAGCGCGCCATCTGGGGTGCACTAACGAGGTCCAGATTTGGACCCGGATTCTTCTCGCTCCTTCTAAATTTTCTAGTAGTTCTGAACTCAGTTCCGCTTCCTCCCAGTCCCAGTCCCGCCCCTCACTCGCTACACGAGACCCCCACTTCCCAGGGCTGCAGGGGCCACGGAGGAGTAGGGAGAGGGGAGTCCTCGGGGCAGAGGTCGGGGTGCGCCCCGCCGATGAGCCCCCCACACTCCGGGCCGGGGAGCGGCGGAAGTGGTCTCGGGGCCCGGACCCTCCCGGCCCATGCGTCCCCTACCGGCGTCCAGGTTCCGTCTCTCTGCGGACAGCGGTCCCGGAAGGACCGGGCGCCCCGGGGACATGCCGGCTGGCCTCGCAGGACGGGCTCGCCGTGGTCCGGCCGAGGGTGGCGGCCCGCAGCCCGCTTGCTCGCTCGGGATCACCGGCCCCGCGGGCAGCTTACCTCGCCAGCTCTCCGGCGAAGCTCGGCGTCTTGTGTGTTTCGTCTCCTAGGAAACGGCGAGGCGCCACCGCCCACTGAAGCCCCGCCCACAGGGGCGTGGCCTCGCGTGCTAGGTCCGTGGAGGAGGCGGGACCTCCCGTGTAGCTGTGGGCGTGGCCGAATCCTGCAGTCCCTGTCCTCAGCTCTTAACCAGAAGCTGGGGTCCTCGCTCTTGGTTTTGTTATGGTTTATTTTTGTGCCGATTCACTCTATGAAATCTTTATTAATTAAATCTAGTCTCGACCAGACTTGCGCTTTCTTGCATACAGCCTGGAGAAACCCTGCCCTGGTATTGCAATTCTTTATGGGTCAATCCCTTAAGTAAATATGAACTCCTGGGGTGCGCTGCTAAATTTGGTTTACCATTCACTCCGCGGACCTGCCGAGGTGCAGTCACCGAGTGAAGAAGTGGGAATCTCACGAGGAGTGAGGTGTGAGTAAATAGTTACCAACCTAAGCGTTCTGAGAGGAGGCGCCCTTGCGTTGCTGAGGAAAAGTTACGATTGATGGTCAAAAAAGAACCCCAGCCTCATAAACTCTAGGGGTGGGGCTATGACGTAGCCATTTAGTGGGGATCAGTGAAGTTTTAGGCCGAGGTAGGAAAGACAGACAGTCTCCTGGCCTCTCACAGCTAACAGTACAGTATGCAGGTAAAGGAAAGGCACCCATCAGATCAGAGAGGTCCTGTATCAGCCCAAGGATGCAGCCTAAGCCTCATGCCTGGCGGGGCGTCAGAAGAATTTCGCTCAGAAAGTGACAGCCTCAGGTTTGCATTTTAGAAAGATGCCTTCTGAAAGATTGCAGCAGTGGGTAGGGTGATGGGAGCAGGAAGTCTAGAGACAAAGCCGCTGAAATTCAGGAAATGGTGAGGATCCCACTGTGGCTGTGATGGTAGAAACAGGATGGTGAGGGACGGATTCAGGGGTGTGTAGGGCTGAAAGTTAACAGGACTATTTGGCCTAGTGAGAGGTGGATAGAGCTGTCCACAACCGAGGGGGGGGGCGGGACTCTGGACTTTGAGAATAGAGCAAATCCAAAGGGACAGAGTAGAGCACTCAGACATGTCAAATACATGTAGTCGGGCTGGGGGTTTAGCTCAGCGGCATAAGCACCTGCCTTGTAAGCAGGCAGTCGTAAGTTCGATCCCCGGTACGGATAAAAAAGAAAAAGACAAAAAAAACCCACAAATACTTGTAGTCTAGCCTGGCATGGAAGGGCATTAGATATTTCATAGGTGGTGTTGCAGTCCACTAGAGAAAGACTACTGAAAAACAATCCACGTGGCAAATGTGCCCTTTACTATAGCTCACAGATGCTTCCATGAGCCAAATTCAAAATAATAAGATAAAAAGAATAATAAATTATAGCACATTTGAAAGTTCAGAAAGTTTTAATTGATAAGGAAAAGTTGCATGTATTTATGTTGCTTAACATGGTATTTCCATGTATTTACACGTGAATGGGCTAAATCAGTTTCTTATCATGTGCATCACCCCTCACGCTTTTTAATAGTCTATATACTGATCAATATATAATAATACACTATGATAATGAATATTCTGATTGCATGTAAAATCTTAAGTACCAAAAGAAAGGGACAGCTAACTCAAAGTTTTAAAAAATGTGTTTCAAGGATGAATAATCCTTGAAAATAATCCTCTAGATTGACAAAAGTGTTAACAAGGTTGAAATGACTAGGACCTTTTTCAGCGCTGGTGAGTATAAACTGATGCAGCAGCGTCTTTTTGGTACGAAGAACCAAATCAGTGCTTTAAACATGGAAGGCAAATGTACTGAGTTACATCCCTTCTGGTAAGCATTGCTAACTTCAGAGTTGAATATTCAGTTACCATTTGACTCAGCAAGTCTGCTCCTCAGAAAATCTTAAAAATATTATGCTCAAGCAATACTTCAGGACTAACTAAATCAGAATTTCTGAAAATGGGAGCCTGGCATCGGTGCTGTTTAAGTACTCCCATGTGATTTCAAAAGGTAACGAAGTTGAGAATCATTCCTATAGAGAAAAATCTTAGATGTGTGTACCAGGAAACATGTACAAAGTATTGGGCCGGGGTGTAACTCAGTGGTACAACACCTGCCTGGCAAGCACAAGGCCCTGAGTTTGATTCCTGGTACCAAAAAAAGAAAATAGGAAAAAAAAAGAAAGAAACAAAGAAAACAAGCAAGCCAGAGATATAATTCAGGGACATAGGGCCTGCCTGACAAGCATGAGGTCCTCAGTTCAATTCCTGGTACAGAAAAAAAAAAAAAAAAAAAAAAAAACAGAAAAAAGAAAAAAAAGGTTGAAGTGTTTACATGTACAATATTGGTAGGAACCAAACCTGAAAGCGGCCCAAATGTCATCAGCAAGAGAAGAGGTAAAGCAATCGTAATGTAGCTGCCCAAGAGAATACGACAGTCATGAAAATTAATACCATTCATTAATCTTAGGCATGTCATATTGAGGGAAACACAAAAGTTGCACAGAGATATATGTAGTCTGCCTAACATTTTATAAGGTTTATCTACAAAGAAGACTAAGCAATGCAGTCTGGCGGTCTGGTGGTCACAAAGCCAAATTCAGAGCCTTGCCAGAAGGACTCTCAGTCATACTGAGTGCTAAGATGTAGAGAGAAGACAGAGAGGCGAGGCAGGGGTATTTGCAGTTCCACAATTAGAATGACAGTGGACGGGAGTGGACAGTAGCAGAGAGAGAGAGAGAGGCCAGTGTTGTGGTGTTATATTGCAAATCGATCCTTAGATAAACTCACCTGGTGTATACGGAAGTTAGACATGCAAGCCTTTGCTCAGGACTTCCTTCGCAGAACCTCCTACCTCTTACAGTCCCAATTCAGGATGATTCTGATGGGGAAGCCGTCCTTTTATTGAAAGCAGGGTGTCACTTTGCAGTTCCTGACTGTTGCTATGAATCGTACCCACTGTAGTCTGTGGGGGACCTCTTGGTTTTGGAGGTCGAGCATCTACTCCTCCCTGTCAGATGTGTTCCCTGCTCTCCTGAAAACAGACACTCTTGGCCCACAGTGTTGGGTGGTTCAGCTTCAGAGACACATATGTAAGCCTTTCAGTGAGTGGCTTGTCTAGACAGGAACATGGTGCCACACACCCGGGAGAGGGGTCCACCTGCCTGCTGGGGTACTCTGCAGAAATTTGAGGGCCCAGCACAGCTGGAGTCACCTTTGCTGCATAAGGAACCCAAAGGCCCTGAGAGACAAGAGGGACCAAACTGTTTCCAGATGTCACCAGCTGAGCACCCAGATGGGCTCAAACCAGAATCCATTCCTGTGCTTTGCAATGACAAGAACCAGCACATTCCTCTCTTTTCTTAGTCAATTGGTTTTCATTTTCACTTGCAGTTGAAAGCATTCCTAACTTATGAGGTGTGATTGAAATATATGATGAATATTTAAATTTTTAAAAAATCTTTATAGTAAAACACACACATACATTGCCATTAACACCCCTCAACATACTCCCCACTATTCCCTTCCTTCCCGCCACTTTGCAAACAGTTCTGAAATCCTCCATTTGAGTGTCTTTCGTTGTCCTTTCATAGCTTCCCTCATGTCCTGAACCGGTGCAAAACAATTATTTTCCTGGTCTTTTTGACTTCCGGGGAAGCAGGAAGTCACAGTCACCGAGCCAGACCTGGTGACTAAGACACACCATCATGTTTTTGTGAGCCTGCTTTTCCACTGGGAGGCGCTGGGCAGCAGCATCCCGCCTTGTACAGGTACTCATGAAAGAAGATTCCAGAACTGCTTCAGAAAGTGGCTGGCATGATGGGACGAGTGTGTCCTAGGCAAAGGGGCAGCGTTTTGAGGAAGATCAATGGCAGTGTGTTTTTACTGTAGTAAATTTCTAAACATTTAAACATTCATCGTGTATTTTGATCGTATCTTATACATAGCACCATGGAGAAGATTTATTTTTTCCTCTAGCGTGTTAATCCTTCTAGCATTTGAAGTTCCCGCATTTCTCAGCGCTGTTCGCTGGCATCCTAAAACTGCAAGGTAGTTCTTCTAAATACCTAATATCATAAGTAATTTAACCCAGAACTGATAATTAGATACTAGTGAAAAAACATACGGGGGGGGGGCGGGGGGGGAGCTGGGGATTTAGCTCAGCGGCATAAGTGCCTGCCTTGCAAGCAGGCAGTCGTGAGTTCGATCCCCGGTACCGATAAAAATGAAAAAGACCAACAACAACAACAAAAAAATACGAGGTAACTTTTTACCTTTAATATCCATTTTATTTTACTTGCCAAGTAATGCATAACAATAGAGTACTAGAAAATAAAGTGAATTATATGTTGTATCACTATTAGGATTTTGGCACACCAGGCATGGTGGTGCTTGCCTGTAATCCCAGCACTCAGGAAGCTGAGGCAGGAGGATCATTGCAAATTCACGACAAGCCTGGACTGCAAAGTGAGCTCAAGGCCAGCCTGAACTGTGTAGTGAGACCCTGCCTCAAAAAGACCCCCCCCCCAAAAAAAAACCAGTAAGACAAAAGAGATTTTGGCACATGTCACTGAAATTTATTTTTATTCATTGAAAAATCCTTTTTCAGTGCTGGGGATTGAAACCAAGGCCTTGTACATGCTAGGCATCCTAGCTGTGAGCTGCACCAACAGCTCCTAAAACTTTTAATTGACACATAATAATTGTGAATATTTTAGGGTATAGTATGATATTTCAACAAATGTATATAACGTGTAACAATCAGATAAGGGTAACTGACTTACCCACCACCTCAGACATTCATCATTTCTTCGTATTTGGAACATTCAAAAACCTCTCTGTTCACTTGACAAATTCTAAATAAATTTTTCAATTTACAGAAAAATTGCAAGGTAGAGATCTCTCCTGTACCCCAAAGCAGCTTTCTTCTGTCCCTAACATTCATCACAATTAATTCAGCATCGCTGATCCGTTATCATTAATGAATCATTAAAGTGAAGC